GGGGGGGGGACAGACACATTGCATTTGGATTCCCTGGACTTGGGTCCAAATTTCATTTGTGTTGGGGGCAGCTAGGTGGCACAGTGGATAGAGCACCAGCCTTGAATTCAGGAGGACCTGAGTTCAAATCTGGCCTCAGACCAAACACTTGACACTTACTAGCTGTGTGACCCTGGGCAAGTCACTTAACCCCAATTGCCTAAAAATAATTAGAAAGAATAATAAAATAAATAAATTTCATTTGTATTACTTGGGATGACATTGGGATTCACCTCTTTGGTCTCACTTTCCTCACCTGTAAAATGAAGGGATAAGATAAAATTATTTCTAAGGTCCTTTCCAGTTCTAATTCCTATGGCCTCTAAGTCCATTCTATTTAGAAGTTTGTCAAATCCACTGTATTATTTGCTACCTAACAGCATCGCTTACTCAACAATTTATAAACATGTTTACCTGAGAAATTTTCATGATAAAATGGTAAAGCATTAAATCTTTTAGTCTCAGTTTTAGTAAGCCAAAAGCTAGTTAACAAAACTGACCCCTCTAGTTTCCGAAAGGGTGAAGTTTTTTGATACTTTCTACATTCACTGAATACTATATGCACAAGAAAAGTCGACAGAAAGTCTATTTCTCAATAATGGAAAATCTGATCTACAACATCACATTAGGGTAGGGAGTATGGCTAGCATCTCTAGTGTGAGGGTTTGCCAAGCCCTTTTCAGGGACTCCCATCTACCTTTGGTGTCTACCTGGCACTCAACTCTCACCTACAGTTCCAAGAAGCTGTAGCATGTGCAGCAGCCACATCCAGGTAAACTGTCTCAGCAGATGGGCTAACCCAGGTTTAGGCTACCCAACGGACCTCAAATCTGTCAGTGAGTTGGTGGGGGGTGTCTACCCCAAGCATGTAAAGACTTCCCCTGGTGGAATGAGTAGATGAGAACAATTTGTTCCCACAGCCATGAAGGCAGCTGCAGCAGGTGCTGTGGGGCTCTTAGAACTTGGCCAGACAACAAAGACACCAAGGTCATCCAGATTTTTGTCCTGCCACTAGACTTTGATGACTCCGAAAGAGAGAATGAGATGGATAACTTTGTGCAACTCCACCTTACTTAGATCCAATTCATGTGCAAGCCAAGACATCACCCCATGATGTCATTGGTACTCTTCGAAAACCAAGGACAAACAAAGGTCAAAAACAAATGTAATCAAACTTCACTCCAACAATCCAATATAGAGCTTCAGCTGCCAGTCATATCCTTTATTCAGTAAAGGACTCTTGTAACAATAAAAACCCTACTAACCTGGAGATAGTATGGTATAGTAGAAGCAGTGCATTATAATGGAAAAATCCCAATGGTCATAAAATTAAAAGACCCAGGTACAAGCTCAGTTTCTGCCATTTTCTAGTTGTATGACCATAACAAATTATTAACATCTCTGAGTCTGAGTTTCACCATCTGTAAAATGGGCTGATATTTGCACTCTACCCTACAGGCCTACAGTGATAACTAGGTGAAATCATATAGGCAAAATACTTCATAACTGTAAAATGCAAACTAATTCTGAATATGAATTTACAATAGCCCACTGGTTTAAATGCAAGGCATTATTAGTCACTTTTACAATGGGGTCAGCGAAGTTTCTGTGAATATTTTGAGACTAAGGAACTTTGAAGGGTAAGCTGCTATAAGTCTAGAAACCTAAAGTGGTCTCCAGAGATAGGGTACATAACCCCAGTGGGTAACTAATTGGAGGGTGAGATGGGCTGCTTCTTTCCTCTACCCTTCAGAAGGTGAGCACTGGGGCTAGAGTCAGGAAGGTTGTTTCCCAAGTTCAAATCCAGCCTCAGACACTTCCTAGATGTGTGACCCAGGGCAAGTCACTTAACCCTGTTTGCCTCAGTTTCCTCATCTATAAAATGAGAAGGAAATGGCAAACCACTCCAGTATCTTTGCCAAGAAAATCTCAAATGGGGTCACAAAGAATCGAACAGGACTGAAAAACAACTGAATGACAAACATACAAAAAAAACTACAAAAGGGATAAATTGAAAATAATCAACAGACGGAAGGCATTAGAATTAAGGGGAATCAGGGAAGGCTTCCTATATAAAGTAAGCCTTTAACTGAGACTGAAAGGAAGGTAGAAGGTGGAGAGGAGGAAGAGGGAGAGCATTCCAGACATGAGAGAACACCAGCAAAAATGGCTGAAGCAGAGAGATACACGTACAAGGAACACCAAGGCCAATGTCCCTGAACCACAGAATATGTGGCAGGGTATGAGGTGTGAGGAAAGAGGGAGAGGTTATGAAGGGCTTTGATTGGCAGAGGATTGACTCCATGATGTCAAACTAATATTTCTAAAGGAAAGATCTCACCATGTCACTGTGCTACTTGGTAAATTCCAATGGCTCTTTATTGACTCTTGGATTGAATACTATTCCATCTTTAGTTCATCTTTTTAAAAATGTCTATTTTTATGCCAATTTAATAATGAACATGATTAATAGTAATTACATGGTTTGTAAACATACATTAGTGTATATGCTCAACATTTTTTTACTGATGGGGTATGGTATCAAAAAAGTTTGGAGACCACTGCTAAAAGAACAAAGAATTATGAAGAGATAAATTCCTTTGCTCATTTTTTTCCCTTCCCCACTTTATTTTTTTAATTTACTTTTAGTTTTCAACATTCACTTCCATAAACTTTTGAGTTTTAAATTTTCTCTCCCTCCTCTCTTGCCTCCCCAAGACAACATGCAATCTGATACATGCTGTACGTATACATTCCTATTAAACATTCCCTTCCCCACTTTTAACAAGGACCCTGAATTTTTTAAGCTAAGAGTAGACATCAGTGGGTAGGGTGTGCCTTTCCAGCGCAGCTAATTCTTCATCATTGCAACCATGTTTTATTTTTAAATATGTTGTATTGTTTATGAATCAAGAGTGGTCTAAGAGAATGATTTAGCCCTTAGCATGAGCTCCATCTGGTGGTCTAAAGGCAACTGCGTATGAGAAAATTCCCACTGACTTTTGAGAATCAAGCAGAATGGTAAAATGTGAGAGATCTAGGAAACTGAGGCCAAGAAAAATGAATTGCCCGCTATAAGGCAGGTTTGAGAATGGTGAAGCCAGGATACATATAAACAAAGCAAAAATACCAGGAAGCAAACTTCAGATCAACGCAAAGAAGTTCTAAATGGGTTGGACAGATGCCAGAGTCAATCTTTTTTTAATGATCAATCAATAGATTTGCCAGGTTCCCAGAGCCCAGAACAATGCTGTCCCAGTTGCCTGGCTCCCTCCTCTGGAGAAGACTCTAGAGCTAGAATTCTTTCCACTGCAGCACATCTAGCTCTATGTCTTCATTCTAAAGGGTAAAACCAAGGCCCAGAGATGCCACGATGCCATTGCTCAAGGGCATCCATCAAGTTAGCTGCAAAGCCAGAACTCATGCTCCTCCGTTTGCACCATGTTGTCTCTCCTTTGGATTACTTAACTAATCTGAAAATCAATCTTACTTTTATTACCACAATTAATTTTCTGCATACAAACTTAATAAAAGTATCATCTAGGATATGTAGATAAAACAAAAATACGATAGGCTGTTACCTAACAGATACGTGGTGCTCAAAAGAATTACGAACTGTTAACCATATGAAAGAAATGCTCCAAATCGCTAGTAGTAAAGAAATGTAAATCAAAACTCTTGACATTTTGCCTCACACCCAGCAAATTGGCAAAAATGACAGAAGCTGAGAATAGTCAATGTTGCAGGAGTTATGGAAAGATAAGAAGACTAATGCATTGTTGGTGGAGCTGTGAATTAGTTCAACTATGCTGCCATATTATTTGAAGAGAGTGACTAAAATTTCCAAACCCTGTGACCCAGAGATTCCACTATTAGGAAATCAGTATTAAAAAAGAAAAGCTCCATATGCACCAAAATATTGCGCACTTTTTGTGGTAGCAAAGAACTAGAAACAAAGTGGATGTCCACTGACTGCAAAAGAGCTAAGTAAATTGTGGCAAATGAACGCAATGGAACATTACTGTGCATGTGCTTAACTATTAACATAGTGAACACTAAAAAGCATGGAAATAGTTGTAAGGTAAGTAAAACAAAAAAAAACACCAATATATACAATGACTAAAATAAGTGGAAAGAACAAAACAAATAAAACTGGGTGCTTCAAAATTATGACCACACTTGACCCCAAAAAAGAGATATCTCTCTTCCTATTTTTTGCAGAGGTGGGAGACCATGGATGTGGAACTTTTTCAATATGTTAGAGTGTTGCCAAACCTTAAGTTTTATTCTTTATTATAAAGGATGGCTCCCTAGGAGGGGGTGAGGGAAAAGATCCAGTGGGGAATAAAAATAATGTAAAAACAAAGGGTAGCAATAAAAATGTATTTTGTAAAAGAATGAAAGTATCAGCTACCGACCTTAGCGGCAAAGAATTCATTTCTTAATGACATGTAAAAGCAAAGTTTCAGACTTCAGGATCTAAACACAGAATGTGGTTTTTTATTTTTTTATTTTTCCTGATAGAGCAAAAAAATAACCCTGCAGGAACACAAGTTCTGTTTAGATAAACAAAACTTATGCCTAAGAAATTATAAAAATATGACACCTTTTTTTAAAGAGTAGGGCTATCTAAAATTTGATGACAGCCTATGTTGTATCTTTAGCAAATATGTTTGCCAAAAGTGCAAGAACATGTAATGATTACACAGTTCATTTGCTGAAAACTGCTGCATCAGACACATCACTGACACAGTCAGACAAAAGTTTGGTGCAGCTAACACTGATTAAACAAAGAAAATGCTTAATAATGAAGACCCAGATGAAGTATGGGAGAAAAATATTTCATGTTTCAGCAGAAGTAACTGGCGAAGGCAGAATACGGAAACAAATGATTTTCATTCAACCAAAGTACATATTCTGAACAAACATGTCCATGTGCTGTTTTTCCAGGCCTTTAAACTCTACCAGGCCAGACCCTTTGCTGCTTTTGCTGCCTTCACTTTGTTTTTCCCTTTGCCCCGTTTTGCCTTCAGTTTTTTCCTTTGCCTTGGGTGCATCCAAACTGGGTACTGTCCGTGTTCATCTAAAAGACTCTTTTTGTTTCTTTTAACATCCACTTCCATTTTCGATTCACCTGAAAAAGTAATGAAAATCTTATTATGAAAACTTCAAAACACTAGCAAAATCTTGCAGGATCCAGGAAAGAAGCAACTGGCTTACTACTACATCATAAGACTTCAGTTTCTATAAGTATCAATTAAACGTTAAAGCGTAACATAGAGGACCTATGAAGGAAGATGTTATCTACCTCCAGAGAAAGAACTGATAAAAAGAAGTATGCATAGTATGGTTTTACATATATTTATAAATTTGTGTCAAATGGTGGCCTTCTCTAGTGAATGGTGGGGATCGGGAGAAGGAAGAAGGGAGGAAGATGGTCTGGAACTTAAAATATAAGGTAAAAAAAAATTAACTGAAAAAAAAATAAAGAAAAATCTAAGAGCAAAGAAAATATTTCCAACTGGAAGTATCAAGAAGAATTTCCAGAATAAATGACACCTGAAAGGAAGCTTAGAGGAAGATACCAGATTCTGATGAGAAGGGAATTCATCCAGGAACAGTGGCTGTCCTACATGGATACTTGGAAGCAGAAGGAATGTAATATCAACTGAATAACTAGAAGTCCAGGTTTGCTTAGAATATATGAAGTAAGAAGTAGTGAGTAATAAAGGGATAAAGACAAGTAGAAGCCATACTGTGGAGGGCCTTAAATGTCAGGCTAAAGGACTCTGCATTTTACCTTAGCAATAGGGAGCCACTGAAGGCTTTTGGGGGAAGGACATGGGCAGATTAGTGACTTGGGAAATTACTTGGCAGTTGTACGAAGAGTAAATTAGAGAGAATAGAGACTCAGAATCAAAGAGACTAATAAGAAAGCTATTAACAATAATCTAGATGACAGATGAAGAGGGTCTGAACTTGAGGGTAGGGCAGCATCATTACAAGGGGAAAGACAGACCTAGGATTCCTAGCTTTTGGCAACTGGTTAAATGTGGGGAATAACGGAAAGGGAAGAATCAAAGAAGATTCCAATGTTTTCAAACAGAATGTGTAGGAGGATGGTTGACATCAACAAGACGAGTAAATGTAAGGGTGGAGGAAACTGATATACTGAATACAAGTTGCCTATAAGTCACCTAGATGAAGATGCTTAGCAGATACTTCCTACAGAACTGAAGTTCAGAGGACGGGAAAAAAACGACTGACTATACAGATTTGGAACTCACCTGCACAGAGGTAATAATTAAAGCCATAGCAGTAAATAAGCTCACCAAGGCAGAGAATGCAGAGAGAAAAAGGAGCTGAAGACAGAGGCACAAGGGACCCCTACACTTAGACAGAACAACAATGATAAATAAGTAAAGGAGAAAGGTCAGAAACAATCAGTAAAGGAGGGGGAAAAAGACAGCAGTATCACAGAGACCAAGTAAATAAAAAGCATCCAGAAAGGGTAGATGTCAACAGTATCAAATACTACAGGAAGTTCAAAGAGGATGAGAACTGAGAACAGGCTCTGGCAATCCAAGTCTGACTCGGACAGAGCTGCTAGCCTGAGCGTCCGATGAGCTACAGCCACAGAGTGCTGAGAAAGTGGACTTTGGAGTATCTGGGGTCAGAGGAGCACTGAAGGAGAGAAAAGAATTGAAGAAGCCACCGTGGGGAACGTGAGAGAGCATCAGAGACATCAGAAAAGATGATCATATAACAATAAGGATCCAGTATTTTGTATCTCCATCCCTTCACTCAAACTTTCTGCTATGACTGAAATGCCCTCCCCCTCTGCCTACTGAAATCTCACTCATCCTTCAAGTTCGAATACCACCTCCTACATGAAGCTTTCTTTGTTCCCCCAACTAAAAGGAACCTCCTCATCCTACTTGTTATAGTACATTTTTACTTTTCTGAGACATTTATATGCTATTTTTTATAGTGTATGAGTGATCTCCTATACTAGACTATTGGTCTCTTGACAGTAAGGACTATTTCTCACTCACCTTTGTATATTCCCTTGAAAAGTCCCTTGAACATAACAGGAACTTAATAAAAACATGCCAAATTAATAGTTAAATATTGAAAAGAAAGTATAATACAGAACACTGGTTACCCAGAGAAAATAAAAGCAGAGTGGGGTGGAGGAAGATGTCCAGTAATTAGCCAATTAATTAACAAGCATTTATTAAGTGCCACTTATGGGCCAGGCACTGTGCTATCCAGGTGCCAGAAATATGAAGAATGAAACAAGTCCTACTGACAAAGAGCTCACTAGGGGGCAGCTAGGTAGCACAGCAGATAGAGCACCGGCCCTGGATTCAGGAGGACCTGAGTTCAAATGCAGCCTCAGACACATAACACTTACTAGCTGTGTGACCCTGGGTAAGTCACTTAACCCCATTGCCTAAAACAAAACAAAACAAAAAAAGAGCTCACTATATATGTGTGTGTGTGTGTGTGTGTGCGCGCGCGCGCCTACATGTATATGAAAATAACATGTCCATTCCTATGTATATCGAGAATAAATACAAAGTTAAACATGTTTACACTGTGTGTCAAGATTTCTAAATTCTTCTGCAAGTTCTGATAAGCTTATGGAGTTAAAATTGGATGGGACATATTAATGCAAATAAGAAAGGTACCTTACATATACAGAATTCTATCAGGCTAAAATCATGATGGAATCTTTCTGTAGTACATGTGATGGAGCTACTTCATACAAATGCCACAAATTTTGGCAACATATTGCCAAGATATGTAGTGCTTCACCATAAATATATTTACTGACACAAACTTATTTCAAAGCACTTTATCATAGAATCTGAAGGCACATAAGCCCTCAAGAATTGTTCTATTGGTTGCAGATATTGAAATACCACTATCTCTTAAGAATCAAAGAGCAAAGAAGAAGGTACATGATGGGCACAAGAATTCAGCAGAAGACTTCTAATGGTGATCTATGCACACACAGCACATAAGATAATATTCAAAAAATACATATGCTCAGAAAAGGTGTCAGATTGCAAATTCAGTGAGAGAATGAGATAAAAGATGGTCCACCACAGTGCTCCACTGGTATTCACTGAACATAAAGAGGTAGCAGGTTTAGTGGATCTTCTGTTGAAGGGTCTATGGGAAAACAGAAACAAAAACTGCCCAGAAAAATCTGAAGCAAAGAGTGCCACACTGATAAGATCACAGATACACTGCAATACTTAAGCACAGGAACTCATGGGGTGTTGGGGGGGTCAGAGAGGGGAGGGAGGGAGGGAGGGAGAGAGAGGGAGGGAGAGAGGGAGGGAGAGAGAGAGGGAGAGAGAGAGAGAGAGAGAGAGGAGAGAGAGAGAGAGAGAGAGAGAGAGAGAGTGTGTGTGTGTGTGTGTGTGTGTGTGTAACCAAGAAAGAAAAATGAAAGGGGAAAAACAACTATGCACATGAACTTACCCTCTTGATCTTTCCCCACAGAATCTGTTTTCTCTTTGATTTTTCCAGGTGCTACCACAGTTGCTATGTCTTTAACCTCTTCCATTAAAACATCACCATCTACTTTAAGTATACTTTTTAGGCGACTGAGTTCCTTTGGTGCATTCTTTTTTCTCTTTTCTGCACGCATCTTCCTTTTCCACTTACTCCGTAAGCTTTTCGCCATTTTTACCTAAAAGTAACTAATTTTTCCAAAATTAGAAAGTTTACTACCAAATTGACACAGCAAATATCTAAAAACCAGGCCAATAAATTAAAGTCAATTTCAAGTCCAAGAAAAGGTAACAATCCACATTCTGCTCATGTTGATTTAAAAGGAAGAAACTTGGGAACATTATGTTTACTTAATATATACCTTTGAAGACCAATATTCTAATTTGTATTTAGAAGCCAAGAATTGTATTTAACACCTTGCCCCCAAATTTTTAAAGGGTTTCAATAAAGTTTATCAATGAGAATTTTGATACCTGCAGATAAAAGGCAAGGGAGTCTTTGGAAAGACAAGAAAGTCCCACAAGCAAGGCATGGTGATACAATTAGTCAACAAGTATTTAAGCTGTTACTAATTGCAAAGTATGTATACAAGTATAAAGGATGAAACAATCCTTACTAGCTAAGCTTACTTTCTAATGGTGGGGGTCAAGGATATACAAAAATATATTTCAACACTGACATAAAGTTAATGTTAAAAAGTGTATATACAAAGTAGTTAAATATAAGGCAGTATAGGACAGAGGTCACTTCCCTTGGGGAAGGATTAGGAAAGGCTTCATGCAGAAGATGGTACTTGAGCTGCATCTTTAAAGACAGGGACCCTGAGGCATAAGTAAGGGGGCAGTGGACTGCAGGCATGAGGATGTCCAGTGCCAAGGCACAGTAACTGGCACATAACTGACAGAAAGTAAATGTCTAATTACCTGATCACAGATTTAGAACTGGAAAGAAGTCTCTTCTAGCCCCTTCATTATACAGAAGAGAAAAAGGACAATCAGAGTAGTTAAGTGACTGATCCAGAATCACAAGCAGCAGAACTAGAACTCAAACCCAGGTCTGCTGACTCCAAATTTAGCATTCTTTCCACTGACTGCACTCCCAGTGGCTCAGGGTCACAATTTTGATATTATCCTCAACTCCTCACTATCTCACCTCCTGTATTCAATAAGCTGCCAGATCTTGCCATGTCAACCTTCATATCTCTCCTCTAGGACCTCTTCTCTCCAGCTACAACCTTAGTTCAGCCCTCATCACCTTTCTTTTAGATTACTGATCCAGCCTCCTAATTGGTCTCTATTCCTCAATTCTCTCACCAACCCAGTCTGTTCTACTGCAAAGTAATTTGTCCTTGTCCAAAGGACCCATGATGAAAAATGCTATCTCTACCTCCAGAGAGAGAACTAAAGAACTCAGCACAAAATGAAGCATACTTTTTAAACTTTATTTATTTTTCTTCTGGGGCTGTGTGTTTTCTTTTGTAACATGGCTAACAGGAAAAAATGTTTGGCATGACTTCACATATATCATACTGCTTGCCTTCTCAAGGGGTGGGTAGGGGCAAAAGTGAAAAAATTTGGAACTTAAATTTTTTCTTTTAAATTTTACATGTAACTGGAAGATATTTAACAAAATAAATAAAATTGTTTTCAAAACTGTCCTTGAAGGCATATCTGACCAGGTGACCTTCCTCAACCAACTCCAGTGGGCATTTAAAAGCCCTCAACAACCTGCCTCCAGCTTCACCAAAAGGTACTACTCCCACTCCTGGCCTCAGTCACCAGTCAACTCTGCAAGCATCGGTTAAGCACTTTCTATCTTCAGGCACTGGGAATGCAAAGAAAAGCAAAAACAGTCCTGGTCCTCTGGGACCTCGCAACCTAAAGCCTTCTATTACTCACTCAAGACTTTTCCCTCGTTCATAAAATGAAGGGACTAGAATGGATGAACTAAATACAATTCCTGTACTAAATCCGTGACGAGTCAATCCTTTTTAAAAGTTCGTGCCCATTATGTGGCATCCCCCTCCCACCAGGGCTGTGGTTCACTACCCCCTTACTTGGGCCTCAGAGCCCCTCATTTTCAAGATGACCCCCAGGCACCATTTTCTGCATGCAGCCTGATACACATACATACATACATACATACACACATACATACACACACACACACACACACTCTTTACATTTTACTACTCTTGGGTTTATGTGTACGGATCTGCCACCTTTATACTTGGGCTGCATAGACATATACGTGCCTGTCCCGTTAGAATGTAAGTAAGCTCTTCAGAAGCAGAGACTGTTTCATCCTGTGTGCTCCTATCACAGCAGGATCGTGGTTAACGCTTGCGGCTTAATTTGTTAATTAGCAAATATCAGCGGACTAATCAACGGCTCCCCTTCTCTACTACGCCCAAAGGTTTCATTGGCCAGAGGCCACGTGGGGAGACGACAACAACCGGGAAATCAGGGCCCTTCCGGTTCTTTCGCCACATGACCTGCAGGGGTCCTAGCTGGGGCTCAGTTTCTCCCTCAGTCAAATGAGGGGCCTCGCGAGTGCAAGGCCAGAGCCTTCGCGGAGACTGGACGGGTCAAGGCTGATCCCGGCCGGATCGAGCCGAGCCGGGGCTGCTTCCCTCCCTCCGCGGCCACACCGGGCGCTGCCCAGCAGAGCCTGGGGCTGCCCCGGCCGCGCTTCTCCAGGAACCCCCCTCCGGGCGGGGACGCTCGCCGTGCCGGGCTACAGCCGCGACGACGTGGGGAGAGGGAAGCCCCGGCCAGCGCCCAAGTGCAGGCCTCACTCACCTGGAGCTCGCGGCCCTCGGAGCCCACGGGGAGAACTACTTCCGCCGGCTGCCGCACTTCCGCCTGGTCCGCCGACGCAGTGGACTCTGGGAGCGGAAGTCGCGTCTCCTACATCAAGGGGCGGGGATTTCCCCTGACATTGCCTAGGCTGTGTTAACCCTTTCGGTGCTACAATTCCTCCAGAGCAACACCACCAACATCAGCAACCATAATAGCTAACATTTATATAGCGCTTACTGTGTGCCTCTCAGACGCTTAGCTATGTGACCCTGAGTAAGTCACTTAACCTCGTTTGCCTCAGTTTCCTCCTCTGTAAAATGAGCTGGAGAAGGAAATGGCAAAGCATTTTGGTATCCTTGCCAAGAAAACCCCAAATGGGGTCCATAGACAGTCAGACACGACTGAAAAACGACCATGTGCCAGGAGCTTTACAATTATTATCTCATTTGATCTTCCCAACAATCCTAGGTGCTATAATTATCCCCATTTTACAGATGGGAAAACTGAGGCAAACTAAGGTTAAGTGACTTGCCCAGGATTACCCAACTAGTAAGTGTCTGAGGCAGGATTTGAACTCAGGTCTTCCTCACTACACGCCTAGAGCTCTATCCATTGAACCACCAGGCTGCTCAGACATAACTTTGGGGCATACCTAGAATAGGCTTAAGGGCGTTTTGAAGAGGGAGGCAGGAGACAGTGTGGTGGAATACAAAGTGCACTGGATTTTGAGTCAGAGGACCTGGGTTCAAATCCCATCTCTACCTGGGCAAAGCAGTAGACAGGAAGTCAAGAAGACTCAGGTTGAATTCTGCCTCAGATACTTAAGTAGTATCTGGAATCAGGGAACCTAGATTTGAGTGGTCCTCAGATACTTATAGTTTTGGGACCCTGGGCAAATGGCCTAACCCTCTGGGCCTCAGTTTCCTTATCTGAAAAATGAAGGATTTGAACTGATGACTTCTATCTAAGCTTCCTTCCAACTATAAACCTATGATCTCATGACCCTGGATAAGTGACCCCCACCTCCCTGGGGCCTCAGTTTTCACAGCCTTCACTTGTACGACGTGCTTGGAGAAATGACCTTCAGACTCCCTTCTAGCTCTGAATCTATTATTTCCTTGCCGTCCAAAACCTCAGACAGACTCCATAGGTTAGGCCTCAGCTGACACCCACATCCTCCCTCATCTGTTAATTGAAGCTGTGTGGAGGCTGATACTAGAGTGATAACCACCAACCTCTCCTCCTGGAAGCTTACTTCACCCTGTTCTCCATAAAATGGAAGTATCCTCCAGCCTGAGGCTTCTCTTTTTCTGATCAGCTGGTTCTTCCTTGAATCTCCATTTGAAGGAGAAGGCCAAGGCCAGCTGCTCTCCTGACTCTTCTGGACTTTGTTTACAATGCCCCCCTGCCCTTTATTCACATCCACAATCCACCTTCCTCACACTTTTCAGCTATCTTTTAGGTATCAGTATTCCCAGTGTTCAACACAGTGCCTGGCACACAGTAAGGGCTTAATAGATGCTTGTTGACTTATTGTAGACAAGCCTCAATAGTTACCAATCAATAAGCATTTATTGAATGCATATTATGTGAGAGACATTGTACTGGGCTCTGAAGCAAAAACAGTCCTTTCTTTGAAGGGTATAGCCTAAGGGGTGTGTGTGTGTGTGTGTGTGTGTGCGCGTGACAGAGCAGGAAAGAGAGAAAATAAGGGGAGAGGAGGGAGAAAGAAGAGAGAGGAGAGAAGAAAGGAGAGGAGGGGGAGAAAGAGAGCAGGAGAAGAGAGGATGGGAGAGAAAGTAAGAGAGGAGAGAGAAAGAAGGAGGAGAAAGAAGAGAGGAGAGAATGGAGAGGAGGAAGAGAAAGAGAGGAAAGGAGAAGATGGGAGAGAGAAAGTAAGAGAGGAGAGGAGGGAGAGAGAAAAGGAGAGGAGGGGGAGAGAAAGAGATCCCAAACAAGATCAGGCACTGGTAAGGTAGCTGAGTTGCTAGGGGAGAGATTTTTGCCAACCACGCATGCTCAGTGGAAGCCTTTTCTATTAGGCTTTACACTATATATATACTGCTTGGGTCATTCATGTTCTCCCTCCTTTCCTCCAAGAATTAGGTTTTCCTGAAGTGCTGAGGGAAGCTTAGAAAAACAACACAAACCTCTCAGACTAGCTCACAGGATAGATGAACTTCCTGATCTTATGATTTCTTTCCCAAAAGGGAAAGAAGACAGGTCTAGATATATCTGTCTATATTTGGTCCTGGATGTTTCTTTGAGGCTTATGAAAGTCTAACATCGATCCCTCCGCTTTGCTTCTCATTCTTCCATCAATCTAGTTCAGTTCAGCTAAAAGTGTCTCTTATCTCCCAAAGGGAAAAATCTCTTTTCTTATCAACGCTTTTAGTAAAAGAGGCATTTGAGATCTAGCATTGGGCAGCTAGGTGGCACCATAGCACATAGAATGCCAGGCCTGGAGTCAGGAAAGCTCATCTTCCTGAGTTCAAATCTGACCTCAGATGCTTACTAGCTGGGCAAGTCACTTAACCCACCCTGCTGGAGAAGGAAATGGCAAACCACTCCAGTATCTTTGCCAAGAAAACCCCAAATGGAGTCACAGAGTCAGACACAACTGAAATAACAACATAATGCAGCAAGAATGAGTTTCTTTTAAATTTCACATTCAACTTTACCACCTTCGTGGTATTTTCAGAGCAAATCACAGTATTGTAGATTTGGAGCTGGAAGAGACCTTAGGAACCATCTAACCCAATCCTGTCTTTTTAAAGTTGAAGAAACTGTATAATGATGATAATAGCTTCTATTTCCCAAGGTTGTTGTGAGGGTCCAAGAAGAAGATATGTGTTTGTGTTCTGCAAACATTAAAGCGCTTTATAAATGCAAGTTGTTATTGTTAGTAATCACTGACTCAGTTTGTCAAGGAATGTCCTAATAAAGGCTCCTAAAATCTTTTGTGTTACAGATCTCTTTGGCAACCTGATATGTGTATCCCTTCTCAGAAAATTTTAAATGCATAAAATAAAAAAATAAGATTAGAAAGAATGCTAATTGTAGTGAAAATTGAATGGCATTAAAATACTTTTATCAAAAAAAATTTTTGGAAACCATTTTATGGACCCCAGGTTAAGAATTTTGATTTACATTGTATTATGTCTACTGCCTATATAGTTCATGTATCTTTGTTCTGAATGACATCCTGAAATGATTATGTGGGAGATGGAATTAATCGTCCTTATTTTGTTAAGTACTTATGTTTATTTTGATGCTGTGATGTATAATTCCAGAAAATAAGTGAAGCACCGCTGATTTTGCCAGAGACTGCAAAATTTCTGTTGCTGGGAAGGAATGCAAGAGATCACTAGAGACAAAATCTGTTCTTTGTTGTTCAATTGTTTTAGTCATGTCCAACTCTCCATGACCCCTTTTGGGGTTTTTTTGGCAAGGATACGGGAGTGGTTTGCCATTTCCTTCTCCAGCTCATTTTACAGATGAGGAAACTGAGGCAAACAGGGTTAAGTGACTTGCCCAGGGTCACATAGCTAATAAGTGTCTGAGGCCAGATTTGAACTCAGATCTTCGGTATAAGAGCCTCTGGGAGCCAAGGGACTGTGAAGTTGTGACTCTTTGAAGGGAAACATTCTTTCTTCTCTCGTGTGAAAGGAAGGAAAAACTGTAATCCTGCAAGAAGAGGTAATCCATTCAATTCAGTTCAATAAACATTATGTTCCAGGCACTGTGTTAAGCTTTAGGTACACAAAAAGAGGTAAAAGACAGTCCCTCCCCTCAAGGAGCTTACAATCTAATGCTCAGGGTAGGACAGGTCGGTCTTCTTGACAATGACATGGTAACCAGCAGAGAAAGACAAGATGAGAAAGCCAGTTGTATCCCTGAATCACAGCCTTCCCTGCTGCAGGGACAGTAAACCTGCTAGAGAGTGGAAAGAGGAAGAGACTAGAGAAGATAGCATTTCCATGTCTGTTGAGAACCACAGTGGTAAAACCTCTACCTCCACCTCCTAGCTCTCACTGAGGCTGCCTCCCATTCCTTTTTTCTTTTAAATAAATAGTCTGTTCACTTTCTGTATTAGCCAAGCATTCTAAAAAAAGAGAAACCATTTTCTCTAAGATAACATTCAATGTGGGTAGAGTAAAAGCCTAAGGGGGTGAGGAGGGAGGACAGGAAAAAGGGAGGAGAAGGGAGGGAGAGAAAGAGCAGGGAAGGAGAGAGAGGGAGTTGGGGAGAGAGAGGCAAAGGAAAGAGGGATAAAGGGATGGAAGGAAGGAGAGGGAGGGAAGAGGAGAGAGGGAGAGGGGGGAGGGAGGGAAGGAGAAGAAGAAAAGGAGGGAGGGAAGAAGAGAGAAGGGGGGATGGGAGGGGGGAGAGGAGGAGGAGGAGGAGGAGGGGAGAGAGAGAGAGAGAGAGAGAGAGAGAGAGAGAGAGAGAGAGAGAGAGAGAGAGATCTATCATTTGGTCACACCCAAAACAAAGAGATTTTATTGCTCAGTATTATTACTCTCCCTACCCCCAAGAAAGGGGCAGGGGGGAACACACGAACCCATACTGGTCCAAAAGAATAAGCTAAGCTGTGGTATATTAGGTGACATATTTGGTGAGCAGAAGGAAGCTTCCTGCAATACAGTGGCTTTGAGCAATTAGTTCCCATTACTTTGCCCTGAACGGATAAAAAGAAAATGCAAGGACTATACCAGTAGACATGTTGGGGAATTCCCAAGTGCTGGAGCAGCCTCTTCTAGTGATGCCTCTTCTGGACCCACCAGTGAAGAGGTGGATTATTCATGTACTAGAAGAGAAAGCGTCCTATGAAGCTTTTCAAAAACCCAAAGGGCTCAAATTTGTAGCTAAGGCTGGGTGCAGTGGCAGATTAAAAATAACATCTGAGCTCCTTCTGTAAATCTGGACATTTTGAATATTTGAATGTTTGGAGAGGGACAGAAGTGACCATTGCACTTATCGGTACTGTAATATGAACATGCAATTCTTGTCCTGGAGAATAAAAATTTTTAATTTGGTGCATATATACACACATACATACTCACACATACAAAAACAGGTTGAGGAGTAAGAATAGCTACTCTCAACTATCGGATTTGTTTGGCTCCAAGCGGCAAAAGTAGGACCAATGGGTGTTAGTAGGACCAATGGGTGTTAGTTGCAAGAAGGCTGATTTTAGCCCACATAAGAAAAAACTAGCAAGTAAAGCTATCTATTGGAAGACTAGGAGAGAGGGAAGGTCATTGGAGATGATAGTTAAGCCAAAGCTGGATAATCACTTGTTGGGAGGAAGGAGGAACATTATAGACAGGATTCATAATTTGTTCGTGTTTAAGTTAGATCTGGGGACTCTCCTATTTTGAGATTCTATGATCTTATGACAAATGTTTTAAACTTTATCATAATAAAGCAGGTAAAGAACTGGTCTTAAAAGGACACAGGTAAATTCCTGGTGGTTTGAAGCTGTTGAAGTTTTTGATTTATCAAATGTCATGTTTAAAAGACATTCCCTCCCCAATTGATAAATGGTCAAAGGATATGAACAGTCACTTTTCAGATGAAGAAATTAAAGCTATCTATAGTGATATGAAAAATGCTCTAAATCACTATTGATTAGAGAAATGAAAATTAAAAGAACTCTGAGGTACCACCTCATACCCATCAGATTGGATAATATGATAAAAAGGAAACTACTAAATGTTGGAGATGTGGGAAAATTAACACTATTGCATTGTTGGTAAGAGTTGTGAACTGATTCAACCATTCTGGAAAGCAATTTGGAATTATGCCCAAAGGACTATAAAACTGTGCATACCTTTTGATCCAGCAATACCACTAATAGATCTGTATCCCAAAGAGATCATAAAAAGGGGGAAAGGACCCATATGCTGAAAAATATTTATAACAGCTCTTTTTGTGTGTGTGGTGGCAAAGAATTGGAAATTGAAGGGATGCCCATCAACTGGAGAATGGCTAACCAAGTTCTGGTATATGAATGTAATCGAATGCTATTGTGCTATACAAATGATAAGCAGATAGACTTCAGAAAAAACTGGAAAGACTTGTATGGACTGATGCTCAGTGAAGTGAGCAGAAGCAGGAGAACGTTGTACACATTAACAGCCACATTGTGTGATGACTAACTTTGGTGGACTTAGCTGTTCTCAGCAATGCAAGGATCTAAGACAACTCCAAAAGACTCATGGTGGAAAATGCTATCCACATCCAGAGAAAGAACTATGGAGTCTGAATGCAGATCAAGCATACTATTTTCACTTTTTTTTTCCCTCATGGCTTTCCTTTTTGTTCAGATTCCTCTCTCACAACATGATTAATGTGGAAATGTATTTAATATGATAGTGTGTATGTGTGTGTGTGTGTGTGTGTGTGTGTGTGTGTGTGTGTGTGTGTGTGTGTGTGTGTGTATATATATATATATAAATAACTTATATTGGATTGCTTGCTGTCTTGGAGAGGAGGGTGGAAAGGGAGGGAGAAAAATTTGGAAATCAAAATCTTGTAAAAATGAATGTTGAAGACTGTCTTTGCATGTAATTGGGGAAAAAATAAAATACTATTGAAATGGGAAATAAAAAATAAAAGACAGTCTTAAAAACTGAGAGACTAAATGAATAGTATGAAATCACTAAATTTTTGACAGTGTATTTTAAGAGGTTATGAAAATAATATTAATGTTATATATACATATATATCAAAGCAGTCATGGCTGCCTTATTTAAATAGGAGATTAAATTTTTAAGAGGAAGTGAATTTTCATTTTATGTTAATCATAAATCCAAGTCTTTTACTTTGTAATTTAAAATACTTTCCTTAGTATACACAAACCTTTGAATTAAAAGAAAGCAGAATTGCATGCACTGATTAATCATATGCCAAGACCATTTGTATACCAATAAAAGCAAAACAAGTCACTATTATTAAATTATCAATTGTAGTATTAAAATGTATCTAATAACCTTATTTTCAAATTAAGTGCTCTACCCACTTCCCTGGAAAGATGATCTGGTGATATTTATGGGAAAGCACTTGGCAAACTGTAAAGGTGTCTTAAAAACCTGATTAGTAAACATTTATGTCTTCCTAACCATCTTTTATCACCACACTTCTGCTTTCTAGCCTCTACCATTGACCTAAAACTCAAGCTGCCACTCCAGGCTTATGATCTGCCCCTCTTCTAGCCCGGGAATTTGCCCCTCTTTAGGTAACTTGATGGGCTTCTACTCTTGGAAACTCACCATACTGGTCATGAACTAAGTTCGGACACCTAATGGGTTTTATGGCAGTTCAGAACACATGAACTCAAGCAATCTACTAGCCTGACACCATTACATCAGGTTATTTCCAGCCATTTTTATACCACATCACCACAAGTGGCATTTTCTCCCATCAGCAAACCCATTTAGGCTTCTGCAAAGCCTCAACATTAGGGAATGCGTATCTGTCCCTTTAGAAAAGCTTTCATAGTTATCAAAATTAGAATAGTATAATAAAAGTGCTAACCTTACTAGCTATGTTTGTTGAGGGAAGTCTTTTAATCTTTATGCAGCCCAGGCATATATATACATTTCTGTTGTTCAGTAGCGTCCAACTCTTCATGACCCCATGGGGCATAGCATGGCAGGCCCTTCAATCCTCCACTATCTCCTGAATTCTGTCCAAGCTCATGTTCGTTGTTTCCATGACACTATCTCATCCTCTGCCATTCCCTTTTCCTTTTGTCTTCAATCTTTCCCAACCTCCAGGTCTTTTCCAACGAGTTCTGTTTTCTCATTGGCTTAAATATTCCTACTTCAGAACTGATAAAACTGAGGCCCTGAAAGGTGAAAGGACTTATCTAGGGTCCTACTGACAATAAATAGTAGAATCAGGACTCAGAACCATGCCTTCTAACTCCAAGTTCTGTGTTCTTCCCACTACATGACACTAAGAGACACTGTGGTAACCTGCTGTGTGCACTTAGCACAGCATTCCCAAATAAAACCACAAAGTACATTTTTCTGCCTACATTTTGAAATGTAGGTTGTTTAATAGCATATGCACATCCTAAATACATGAACACACTCTGAATTTAAAGTTAAACCTATACAACATTTAAATATTTGTCATTCATACTTTATATTTTATCTTAAAATAGATCTTTTATTACAATACTGAATATTCTGAAAGCATCAGTTGCATGGCGCCAAAATGTTCAATTAAATATTTTCCTTCTGATTAAGATTAATGGAATTAAGGCCTTCAAAATATAATGCAAATCAAATAAAAACTTTAAGAATGGTACTTAAGGAAAAATATATTTTAAAAAATCACCCTACAAAGAAAGCCTTAACTTTATATTATGTATTCATGAAGCAATTCTGAATTTCAAACTATCAACCTATGGCAAATTTAGAGCAGGAAAAAACAAGACAAGATTTTTAATTTCTCATTACTGAAATCAAAGGTAACATAAAATTTTAATTAAGAATTTCCTTGGGGGCAAAACCTAATTCTAGTCTTTACAAGAATAAATATTGTTAGAGCTATTAAGTTTAAACATTTTGAAGAAGAATCCAAAATCAAGTGGACAGCAATATGAAACATTATTCATAAGTTCTAAATCAAAAATCTGGTAGCAGGTAGATATAAAAAAAAAGTAAAGCTTCAATCTCACAACTACTGAGTAACTAGAGAGCAAAATAATTTTTAACGATCTATATTCCAAGCCTCATTATTTAATCAAACACTTTATTGCAATATGAAACATTATTCATAAGTTCTAAATCAAAAATCTGGTAGCAGGTAGATATAAAAAAAAAGTAAAGCTTCAATCTCACAACTACTGAGTAACTAGAGAGCAAAATAATTTTTAACGATCTATATTCCAAGCCTCATTATTTAATCAAACACTTTACTGTTCTCAATCACTTTTTATTAAATGCTTCTAATAAACGCAATAGGTGCAGGAACAGATTGATGATATCCAAGTAGAGGTTGATGGCAGCCAATATATACTCTTCAGGGGACAGTTTGTGAATCAGTAGATGAGTATCATAAATGATGAATCCACAGAACAGAAGAGCTCCCATTGCAGAAAAGATTACCTCCACCAATTCATTATCATAGAAGAACTATAGATTAAAAAATAAATACATGTAGGTTAATATTTGAGAAAAGCATTTCCAGAAGACCTTAAGTTACCTGCTATAATTAACAGCTAATTATTTTTAAATAATCACTAGTAGCAAATGATTTTAAAAACAAAATGTTAAAAGTACATAAATTCTAAATAAAATATTCTAAATGCATTACTTTATACTATACCATAATGAGTAATAGTATAAAATAACATTTACAATTAACTTATTTTTTTTGTCTGAGATTTGGCATAACTGCCTAGAATTCTATAGCAGCACCCCAAATGTATTTCTTATTCTAAAAGACTATCATTTTGTCTCTGTGGTTACTCCTTTTAATAGACGCCAGTCACGACCCCTACACAGTGGTCTCTGAGATGTACTATGGCTGAAAAATTCACCACCTTGCAAACAACCTGGTGATGAACTTCTCCAACTTCGCTCAGCTAGTCTTGTGACAATGCACTTATTTCGTCATTAAGCCCATACTTGAAGTCTTTCCAGTTTGTCAAGAATTGCATTCTTTATCAGCATAGTCTTCAAAAACCCAGAGTCACCTCCAAATCAATGAGATATCTGAAAACTTCAAAATTGAAACATTTTACTTTTGCAGCCCAAATTTTTTCCTTTGAAAGCTGACAATCCAATTCAATTGATATTTCCTAAAAGATGTTCAAGGATTTTATTACCTATGATGCTATTAACCCATTTACTCATTTATTCATAAAACATACACTGAGCACCTACAATGTGAAAAGTCCTACACTAGGTGTTTTGGAGACAGATAATACAAAGATAAATAAGGTAATCTGTTATTCTCCAGACACTTAAAATCTAGTAGTGAAAATAGGTATAAAAATAATCATACTGTAAGACCATATGTGACGAGTGCTTTTAAGGGAGGTTCAAGACAAGTATACACACAGGTTTAGTGCTGGTTTGATCAGAGAAGGCTTCCTGGAAGAGGGAGCATACGAACTGGCCCTTTTAGGGTGGTCAAGATAGATGAAGGGCAAGGTTTTCACAGGTAGAGAAAATGGCAAGAATAAAGACATAGAAGTGAGAAAATAAGCTGTGCTTAGGGACCCACGAGTAATCTAGTTAGGGGAGAATGGGAGTATACACAGTGAAGTAGAATATAAAATAAAAAGCTAAACTGAAATCAGATAAAAGGCAATCCCAAAGAAGGTTTCAGAATAACAGCAGAGTAACATAAACAAAATGGTACCATGGAGACACTAATCTAGCTATGGCATATATTAATGAATCGCATCAAGAAGACACCAGAAATAGGGAGACCAGTTAAGAAACTACTGCAGTCATCTAGGCAGATGTAATCATGGCACAAACCAGGGTGGCAGTGACATGGAATGGATAATATATGTCCAAAGTGCAATGAAAAATTTGAGGAGGGAAAGGGATTTTAATCAGGGAGGTATGTCATATGGTGGGTGGTCGGTAGAAGATTATCTATTTCAGGCAGGGGGAAAGGTGTATCCAAAGGCATAGAAATCAAAGAGGCCAAGATGGGAATGGGAAAAGAGAGTTTAGTTTGAAATATGTTGAATGTATGATGTTGTTAGGATATGGAGAACTGAAAATATGGAACTAGAGTACAGAGGTGAAGTCAAGGGCAGAGATGGAGACAGAAGCAGTTAGCTAAACATAAAGTGACAGAAGCAGGGAAAGTGGAATGAAGTCTGAATGAGGGTAGGGACAGTAGAAATAGAAAGGAAAAGGGAAAGATTGGAGAGCTATAAAGAAGGAAAGGACAAGATGTGAGGGCAAGGGCAAAGGAGGCATATTTTGGAGACTGAGTAATACTGTGAGGTGACATGACCCTCTGGAGGGCTGGGAGGAGAGTCAGAAAGATGGGGGAGATTTTCTCTGTTGTAAAGTTGTTGTATAGGTATTTTCCTAGTGTACTAGAGGTCTAGGAAATCAACTTCTCCCCAATAGATAGGTAACAAAAAAGTTTGGCAGGGAAGGGGCAGCTCGGCATAATAAATAGACTTGGAGTCAAGAAGACCTAAGTTCCCACCCGACTTCAGACACTTACTGGCTGTGAGACCCTGGCAAAGTCACTTAACCTTTCTTGTCTTCAGTATCCTCATCACTAAAATGAGGATAATAGAAGTGCTGTATTTCACCACATAATCATTGTACCCTGTTTGTTTGTAGTCCAAAAAGATGGCTTATAGCCTTTTCTTGCATAATCATTGCATGGTATAATTCTGTTCATCATGCTGCTTAAAATGTAAACACAGCAGCAATGTATTCACCAGTGGCATATGGATACACACTTATCTCTGGCACATTGTAGGCCATGAGCCTAGAATTCTCAGCGCATGTGCATTGTCAGTATATTTCCAAAAGCCAACTTGCATGGTTTGTTTACGGCACTGTAGTACTAACTGTATTGTCACTCAATCCAATGAAGAGCTGTAACAAAGGGCAGGTGAAGCTGCCATGAGCAAGTCACGTGCTATGGTTAAGACTTGAATCTTTCCAATTTCAACATATCTTCACAAGTACTCTGTGCAGCCTAATCTTTCATCAAAGACAGTTTAGTAATAAATGATTTTTAAGTAATACCAGCACATTTTAAAAGCTTCACATAACGGTCGCACCCACCTTTTTTTGCAAAAAAATTGGTGTCAAATCTGCGATGATTATGCTGTGAGATATGGTACTCATTTTACAGCCTTCACAAACCTTTAAAAATTCTACATATGAATATGTGTGTTAGCTTTTATTATCATTTGGCATATGCTTATTCTTTGAATGCCTAATATCTCGGGTTTCTCAATCTGTTGAGGATTACATCAAAACTAAACTGGCAACTTGTTGATAGAATCAAAGGTTAGCAGAAAGTGCTAACTTTGAACAGAAGGAGAAAGGCAGTCAGCTGGGGACTTGCTAAAAGTAGGGAGAAAAGGCAGGTTTAAAAGAAGGAATCAGCGCAGCCCAGGTCCACTGCCTTTCAGAGATAAGGTATCTGATATCAGTCTAGGGCAGCAGGTACAGATGTTAAACTTTTCCTAAAGGGTAGAATAAGGTCAACAATTAGCTAAGAATAAAGCAAACCAAAAAGGTAGAGAAGGAATAAGTGAAGGCTCAATTAGGACTTTTAGAGGCCAGATCCACTGAGACCTCCAGGAAGATAAAAGAGATTACTGCTAGGGCAATACACTGAGGAAGCAAAGAGGAAAAAAAAATCCTTGGAGACTAAATAAGGAAGTGCTTTTCTCAGCTGGGGGCAGAGGTGAGCGTAGAACTCAATAGCCACTGAGACAAAGAGGAAAAAGGCGACTGCAAAGTTCTTGCAGAATGACTGGTAATTAAGGGAAGGGTGACCAGGGTTGGCACAAGACTTCAGAACTTTGTATTAAAACCTCCAGCCTGCTATATCAACACTTTGTAGAGGATGTATGGAAAGGAACAAGGACAAGAATCACAAAGAATGAGAAGCGCATGAGCTGGGATCTCTAACCAATAAAAGAAGTATCCATAGTAATGAGATCCCAAATCTACTCAAGCAGATGAAGTACAGATATTTCCCTACTGTGATGAGTGATAAAGGCTGATAAAAACACTTTAGGACCCTAAGAAAGAGATATGTACTGATTTCAGGGGCAACAGAGAAGGGAAAACACTGAAAACCTGTATTCCATTCCACAGGGAACCCAGTGAAGGAAAACTGGCACGAGAACAACAGCAAGAAACCAGGAGGAGGAGCTGCCAAAACCAGTCAATGGTGGATAGATGACTGCTCTTGGCCCTCCTCTCTTTACAAGCTCTTCCCAAGCAATTTCAACCCCGCCTATGGTTTCAATGGATGACTCCTAAGTCTATACTTCTAACTCTAACATCCCTGAGCTGTAGACTCATATTTCAGACTGCATAAAGGACCTCTCCATCTGAATATTCTGGGGCCAGAACTCAACATGTCCAAAAATGTGATTATGCTTTTCTCTTAATGTTTTATTGATACATTTTATCTTTACATCATAATTTTTTCTCAGGGGAAAAAAATCTCCCTTCCTCCACCTATACTGAACATTTCCTTTGTTACGTGGAAAAACAAGTAAGCAAAGCACCAAATACAGTGACAACATTTACACTCCACTGCTCTGCCATAAATCGAATGCTTCATTAGCTCTGAGACCTTCATTGGTTTTTTCCTATTACTAAGAATTTAGTTTAAATGACATTTTCATTCTTTTTTACTCTCTACTGACATTTTCTCCTCATCTGAAGTTCACACGGTCCAAATTTATCATCCAATTTAGATCCCGGTGACCTCTATCTACTGATTCCCAGGTCATTCTCCCTTTTTTCTCAGTCAGTCAGTTTCTGGTTCCATCTTTCTCTACTGCACCTCCTGCCCACATAATGGGGGAAAACATAAATGTTAATACTCTAATGCCTTAACCTCCCAGCTCCTCAATTTGCTCAACTCCTATAACTTACTGATCAAATACCAGCTACACATAGGGATAGTCACCCCCTTGAGCCTACCATTACCTACAGGTGCTTTACTCCCAGGATCAAGAACTTTGAAATTACTTTATCTAGTCAAAATCACCCATATTTCTATCCCTTCCTAAACCTTCCTCCTCCTAAAATTATTCTTCATCCTTATATGATCTCTGATCCCTCTACTGTTCTCAGCACTTTGTCAGGCCAGGATCACTGCTCTGGCTACTCTCTCCTCTCTTCCTAAATCTCAAACCCTTGGTGAACCAGTTCAACTCTGCACCATCCTCTATTCTTAAATCTCTTGCTCACTTGTTCTATTACCACTCACATTATGCCAAACCCTGCATGACTGGGGGCAGCTAGATGGTGCAAGGGATAAAGCACCAATCCTGAAGTCAGGAGGACCTGAGTTCAAATCCAGCCTCAGACCAAACACTTGACACTTACTAGCTGTGTGACCCTGGGCAAGTCGCTTAACCCCAACTGCCTAAAAATTAAGAAAAAAAAAAGCTTCTTGGAGCAGCTAGGTGGACATAATACATCCTAGCTGTGTGACTCTGGGCAAGTCACAATCCCAATTGCCTCACTTAAAAAAAATTAAAAAAAGAAAGAAATCTCAAACCCTGCATGACTCCCACAATTTGCCTCTTCTGCTCCTATTCACATGGTGCTGAATGCAATGGAAGAAGTCATACAACTCTGATTGAGTCCACTATAAATTCATACTATCTAATCTCAGTTGAGCCCTCACTGCATTAAGGCAATCCTTTTACTTCTCCCTAGATTGTATATCTCACTTTTCACAACAGTTGTATCAAACCCTGTCTGCTGTTCTGAAATCTCCCACATCATCCATCCCCTTCTCCTTCTACCCTCTCAGCTGAGGTCCTTGTTTCATACTTCACCAAGAAAAGCAAAGTCATTCTCCAGAAGTTCATTCTCCTTCCCTCATCTCCTACTTGTGACATCATCTGCTTTCTATATCTGCTTTCTCTTAGGTCTCCTTCTCTCTCTACACTTTCACTCTTGGTGATTTCATCAGGTTCCATGGGAGTAATTATCTCCATGTAGCTGATTTCTATCTCCATCTAGGTGATTTCTAGTCCTGGTCTCTCCTGAACTCCAATTCCATCTCACCAACTGCCTGCTAGGCATTTCAAATGGGTTCTCAACATAGCAAAAACTGACTTCTCAATATATATTCCACCCCAAATCATCCATTCTTCTGAACTTTATTCTTTCAAGGTATCACTGTCCTTCCAGTCACACAATTTTGCAGCTCAGTGTCATTCCTAACTCCTCATTCCATACACACAATCAGTTGCTAAATCCTGCTGTTTCTATATCTGCACCATCTCTTGCATTCTATCAAACCACCAGTCCATTTCAGGCACCCATCACCTCTCTCCTGGACTGCTGAAATCATCTCCTATTTGGTCCCTTGTTTTTAAAAAGTTTCTCCCCAGTCGAATCCATCCTCCACACAAGTATAAAATGAGTTTCCAAAAGCACAGGTCTGACCATGTCACTTCCCTACTCAATTAAGTCTAGTAGTTTCCTATTAACTCTAGAATGAAATATGAACTCCTCTATTGGGCATTTGAAACCCTCCATAACCTGGTCCCTTTCTGTTTTTCTAGTATTCTTATACTCTCTTTCATGAACGTGCAAATGGAGCCATAATGGCTCACTTGCTCTATCACGTACAAAATCTCTTATCTCTGTGTCCCATGCTTGCAATGAACCCTCTCCTCCTTCTCCTCCATCTCACTAATTCTTCCTTTGGGTAAGATGGAGACCCACCAGGCCCTGCCATCGTCTCCTAAGGTAAAGCCTAACCATTGGCCCCAACTCTATGTTCTATTGGTCCCTCAGCACTGATATCATGAAAGCTTAAGACAGCTGTGTCTTGGAGCCAGCTCATACTAATTTGCAAGAGTTGAATGTCAAACTTTCAGTGTGAAAACATACCTTGAAAAACAGCAAATGCTACAAATCAAGACTTGATTTGTTTTGTAGATTGTCTAGACTTAAGAAAGTGATGCGGAAAATTTTAAAAATGCAGATTAGATGTGAAAGTGTGTTGTGTATACATCCCCCCTCCAACGAGTAGTTAAAATATTTACCTAAGGACTCCTAGCCTTGACATCTGCTTCTCTGAAATAGCATTGGGACTTCAGGGAATTTCCATGAGCACCACAGTTGAACTTTCTATTATGTGTTGTCTCTCCCCAATTAGAGGAGATCTTTGAGAGGAACAAGGACTGACTCATTTTTTTTCCTATTTGTATCTCCAGCATTTAGCTTAGTGCTTAGCAGTTAGTGCTTACTTAACGCCTTTTCTTTTATTCATTTCCTGATCCTCTCCAGCTGCTAGTGTCCTTCCTCCCAAAACATGGCACTCATTTTGTATGTATTCTACAAATATTTATCTATGTGTACTTTGTCTTTACCACTGAAATGTAAGCTCCTTGAAGGGAGGGATGGTTTTACTTTTGACTTTGTATCCCAAATGCTTAGCCTACTACCTGGTCCATAATATGTGATTAATAAATGTTGATTGATTTTTTCTGAATTAACTATTTATGTCAATGGAATCTGCCATCCATGTACAAATTCTCTAGCTTACTTCTAGAAGACCTCTCCTCACATTTCTCTCATCCAATCAGCTGTAAAATAAATAAACAAATGTGTATGTGTGTATATACACACATACACACACTCATAAAAATAAAAAATATGCTTGAAAGAGTGTGTGTGTGTGTGTGTATGTGTGACACAGGCTATGCCAACAGAGTACAAATGTGGCAGGCCAAGCCAAAACGGTTTTGAGTACCTTGGTAATGGATTACAAGTTTGTCCCGTGAGCATCAGCCTTGATAGCAACAACTACTAACATTTAAATAGTGCTTACTATGTGCCTGGCACTGTGCTAAGAGCTTTACATTATTATCTTATCTGATCCACACAGCAACCTTGGGAGGTAAGTGCAATTAATCTGGATAAATTATCATAAAATCTCATAAATCTGGATATGCTCAAAACCAGATCTCAGAATGATGAAGTTCTTTGGCTACAGCCACTCTTGAAAACTATTTCCTAAGCTACAGAGGACTTGAGATTTACACCTCTGGAGGGCATATCCACACTGATAAAATCAGATATCTAATATCAAAGTATATCTTGAAATTATAGTTACTAAAAATTGTATATGCCATTTTAAAGATCCTGCAAGAAACCTAAAGAATAAACCAATTATATCAATATTGTATTATCTCAGTTGAATTGTTATCAATCTATAATAATAATGACAGCATTATATATAGCCCTCTAAGGCTTGCAAAGCACTGTATGACTATTATGTCATTTAATCTTCACAATAACCCTACAAGTTAAGTACTACTTTTATCCCCATTTTACAGATGAGGAAGCAGGCAGACAGAGGTTAAGTGACTTTCACAGAGCCAGTAAGTGTCTGAGGCTAGATCTGAAGAGAGAGCTTCCTGACTCCAGGCCTAGTGCCCTATCTATTGCACTACCAGGCTTCTTGTATAAAGAATGGCATTTCGCACAATATATCAATTGAGACTTTTAATAAAATTGAACATAACACATTCTAATATTTTAATAACTAGCATATTTCACACTAATTTATCACTCAAATTATTTTCCTGTAATTAAAATAAATTATTCCAGTTATATGGTAATAATAGTGGTCAACATGGGGCTTTGATTTTTCTAAAGGGATTACTAAAGCATTATTAATTACTAAAGTATTCTAGATTATTATAAGTAGCAGGTATCATTTTATTAATATGTCATGATAATTAAGATTAACTTCTAATGACCTATTAGGAATTATTTTTAGACTTGCTGTGACAAAAGAACTTACCCTCAAGAATCCTGACAAGAGCAAGATAAACAAAAAGGCGAAAAGTCTGTAAAAATAAAAGCATTAGTAGGTTAGATTATATTTTCAAAATATGATTTCTATACACAGGATCCATTTTCTTCAAGATTCAACAGTCACATTTTAAAAATAATTGATGTGTGCCAAAGAATCATTTAAAAAGGGAAAGTAGCCAGAATAGGGTGGTGATGGCCAGGCAAAATACAAGGGGATACTTTAGACAAGAATCAAATCAAACTCCATTCAACTGAAAACTGCATAAGCAGCTTTGCCAGCAAAGTCAAAGCAGGGAAATGCCTACCCACCCAATTGGCAAGAAGTACTGAATCTTGTAGTGGAATAAAATACCTTACCAAAAACTGAGTTAAGCCCATTGTTCTAAATGGTGATGAATCATAATAAAGAACAGTGAGAAGTTTTTTCCCCCTATTTTGTTTTAATCTTATAAAGAAGCAAGCTAGTTAATGGAGCTGGATTAAAGTCTGGGGATGTCTCAAAAATTAGCTGGGCAATTTGCTAACCAACTAAGTTAACTAACTTGTTTTCTGTACCATAACAGAAATCCTGTGGTTGGTCTAATTGCTTTTATGTTTTGTCCAGCCTTCTACTAAAGCTGATCACCCTCAGCAGACAAAACTTTCCAGACCTCCAACTTTCCTCTTTCCTCTAAAAAGAAAAATAGAAACTCAAAGATCAAAGGTACTTCTCTCCATTTTAGCTCTAGTCTCTACCCAGGCAGCAGTCAGGGCAAATTCTTTAATGTCATTTTCTGCCACACTCTACTCTGGAAAAATAGGGGCTGACCCTCAAACATAAAAGTATATTATCCTCCTGATAATGCTTTCCTCTATTGGTAGGGAATAGCCAGAGCTTTCAGTATAAAAAATTCAAATATTTTTCCCACTATTGCTTATAGAGTGCAATAACAAAAAAGAAAGAAAAAAGCATATATTTTATAGTTGAGAATAAAACCTACCCTGCTCCAAATTTGCTGAAATCTCTCTTGGACTGTAAAGTGTATAGAGTCAAACCGAAAAATACTGCAGTAGTCAACATAAAAGCTTGCAGAACAACATACACATCATAGAATGTCACTGTAAAATAAAAACATTGATTTGTTCATTGAACAATGTACATAAAATATACCAACTACCGAACAGGCCCACCTGGTATTTAACAGAAAGAAAAGCTCCACTGCCCCCTACCCCTCCATGCTCCATTTTGCACTTGTCAAATGACAGCCAAAATAAGGAAGAGGCTCCCTACCCTGCCCTTGAACAGGGATATATTAGCACAGGTACCACTGTGCAATCACAGAAACTATCAGGACTGAATGCTGTTTTAATAGAGGAACAATAGTTTAATATGAAAGGAAATGTTTTGTATCAAAAAAATAAAAAGTTAATTATCAGTTATTCAGGGATTAATTATCCATGTTTGCACTCTGGCCTTCTTCAACTAGATGACTTTTGGTCATTTCTCCACATATTTGTATAGTCATCAAGGAATAAAGGAAGTAAAATGGAAGCCTGTCACTTGTTACTTAACAACAGTGGGGGAAAAAAAAATTCAGAGGAAACCTGTGCTCTCTCTTGTAAGTGCATTCATTATCCCCATCCCCCTACCCCTTAATTTTCTGCAATCAAAAATCAAAAATTCACACATAGGCAATAAGGAGGATAGAATTTCAAATCTAATTTCTATGGTCTTAAAACAAAACTCATTCCTCAAGCCACTACTAGCATGAAATGTTATGGGTTGTTTTTTTTTAATGTTGTGAAAATCATAAGGTCTGAGATTAAAATCATTACAATTGTTTGTCTTCCTAACAGCCTTCTAACAGTTTAAGGGATAGGTAGGAATTACCTTAATTTCACAGATGTGGAAATACATAGGAAATGCAGTACTCTGAGCCCTTTGATTTCCTTATGTTCTTCACAGCTTCTAGGTAAATCGAATTTACTGTTTAAAGTGTATGATTAACCTTTGATTCATTATATTCTGGTATGTTTTGCTTTACCAAGTGTTTATTAAACATTGATATAGAAAATGCTAAAGTTTAGCCAAGAGTTCCCCTCCTTTTAACCTGAGAATTTGTTACTACTGAAAAGATTCCTTCAATATTGTATAGAATAATTATGGTTTACCTGCTACACCAACAGTCAAAGATTCCAAGACTGTCTATGAAAAATAAAAAGTTGTGAATTACACAAATGCATGCAAAGTTTATCTAGTTTGCTGAAATACTGCTTGGTAAAGAATTCAAAGAACTTTTGGTCTCATTTACTCTAAGACTAGGCTTCAAGGAACCTGAAAAGGTATTGTTTTGTTATGTCCATGATCCTGAAAACAGAAGATCATCAGACTAAAAGAGATTTAGATTCTAATTCTAGTTAAGTCACTGATTAACTTTAGGTAATTTGCATAAAAATAGGGAATGACTAAAAAATTTCATACAGTATACCTCTGCTTTCTCCTTCCCTTTAATTCATACCTTCCTTTTTTCCTTTATCTCACTGTACCTCGTGGAAAAATACTCATGGAAAAAATACTCCTCATAAAAGCTCTAGCCAGAAATTATAGCCATAGCAGGTCTTAGAATATCCTGTTGCTAAAGGGGATGCTCCTGGACTCCAGGATAGGGTCAGTGGTTGAGTACACCTAATAGACACAGAGCCAAAGATAATGCTACCACTTTCTGTTATGATGCAGATGGCTGCGAGTAACAATTAAATTGAAATAGTGATTGGACACCATGATTCCAATGCTACTTATGGCAACAGATGATTTTATAGATAAGGAAATTGAGGCAAACTGATTAAGTGACTTGCCCAGGGTCACTCAGCTACTGGGTGTCTGAGGATGGATTGAACAGGGTCTAACTGACTCCAGGCCTAATGCTCGACTATCTATCCACTGTCCCTGGAGGGGAAGGGCCCTTTGGGATAACTTAGTCCAAGCTCTTTTTTTTTTTAAATAGATGAGAAAACTGAGGTACAGAGAAGTGACTTAGCCAAGATCACACAGCTAGTAAGTGGCAGGATCACTTGGACAGGGGCCTTCTAATTTTTGAGTCCAAAATTCTTTACACCATTTATACAACAATTATTACACCACTGGTTTTTGTGGAAAATGAATTTGGAGTTTCAAAACAGTTGACTGAGCTTATTTATGGAGCACAAGTTCTTTGTAAACTGGTGACTTTTTAGTAGTATCTTAAAAATGCATATAAATTTATAAGTTTTGAGGTGTACTTATTGCTTATTCCCATTCTTTACTACTATTTTTATAAATGAGAAAATTAAGGCCCAGGAAGGTTACAAGACTTGCCCAAGGTCACACAGGGAGTAAATTTCCAAAGTAGCATCTGAACCTAAGCCCCATGATCCCAGAGTCAGACTTTTTTCCAATGTATACCACCTTACTTCCCATGGATATGATACTTAAACAATTTTTCAGTTCAAAACTGATAAATTAACTTAGGTTTGTACTAAGACTAAAGGAGAAAGAAAAAAATGATAAAGCAAATCTAAATCCAGTGCTCAGGACTCAATGTATATTGTTCAGATGAATTTTTATCTTGAACTACAGTACTCCTTCCTGGCTATCACCTCAAAATGAATTTTTATGAAATTTTTTTTTAAGGCAATTGGGGTTAAGTGACTTGCCCAGGGTCACATAGCTAGTGAGTGTCAAGTGTTTGGTCTGAGGCTGGATTTGAACTCAGGTCCTCCTGACTTCAAGGCCGGTCCTCTATTCACTGCACCACCTAGCTGCCCCCTTAAGAAATTTTTTTTCTCCACATAAGAGATACACAACCCTCCAACCATGTTTTTGCAAAGGCACATCATCTCAGCAAAGTGATTTTTGAAAAGGAGAAATTACTGAGAAATGGAGAACCCTGAAAAGTCAACCACAAAAATCTGGGCTTGAATCTACGTGCAATTAAAAACTATCAAAATTCCCACCTTCATAAACTGATATAATTATATAGCTGGAAGGAAAATCTGAAAGATTTTCAACTGAAGGCTAGAAGAGTTCAATTGCTCTGTCATGCATCTTGTCAGCGGCAGAGCCCAGTGTCTTACTGCCCAGGCCAGTGTTCTTTCCAATACAGCATAAAAAGCTAAGTAAAGTGACCTACTAAAATATCAACAATTCTAGAACCAAGAAAAGAAACCAAAGAATTCGTTCTTTTCTCCTAAAGGTATATTTGAAATATAGACTACAGGAAGACAATTTTTAAAAAATTAAACCACTTATTCAAAAAAATAAAAGGTGCAAAAATACTCACAAATCCAAAGAGCAGGTACAAGTTAATAGGATGTTTATGCCTATATAACATCAATGCCAGAATCAAACCCAAAGATCCAAGGAGAGACACCAACATCAATGCAGGGCTATATGTAAGAAAGAAAATATTTTAAATTAAAGGCACTGAAATTTTATATCAAATTAATTGAAATGTTATTAAACACATCTATAATTACATGTTTTCTTAGAAAAGAATCTTTTTATCTGCATAGCTTAATCAAAAAATCCAAAGACCTGCCCCTATTTTAGGCAGGGGAGCAGTGATTGTAAGACCTGCAAACGTTTAAGAACACAGAGCAAATGTGCTCCCCTTTACTCTTTTGCAGCCTTAGATCACAAGAGAAAACTGCATTCAGTGAAACAATTAGACATCCTTGGAGAGTAGAGTCTGAACTTAAAGCCTGTGGTCAAGGCTTCTTTCTGCTGCCGTGAAAGATGAGGCACGGAGATAAACCTGTGACATGCCACCCAACTGTCATTGTATTGAATGTTTCATTTTAGCTAGAGCAATTCACAATCTCCTAACAGTACATTTATGCGCCCATCTTCCCAAAGCCCTTCCAACATCTGTGATTTTCCCTTTTTGTCATTTTTGCCAATCGGATAGGTATGCAGTAGAACAGAAGAGTTGCTTTAATTTGCTTTCTCTAATTACTAATGATTTGGAGCATTTTTTCATGTGGCTATTGATAACTGGATATTCTTCTGAGGACTACCTGCGCATATCCCTTGACAATTTATTAACTAGTGAGTAGCTCTTATTCTCATAAATGTGAATCAATTTCTCACATATCTTGGAAATGAGACCTTCATCAGAGACAGCTACCACAAAGATTTTTTCCCCAGGCAACTGTTTCCCTTCTAATTTTACTTGCGCCATTTTTATGGGTGATGGCCTGGGTATAGAAGAGGGACTCTTTATCAGTGATGAGGTGCCACACAGATATCACTATGCTTGTTAACATTTGACTCCCAAAACGTATAGGGCCTCTTCTATGAGATTCATGGTTATCCAAAAGTAATTCCTAAGAACAGACCCACTTGGCCCATATACTGGAGAATGGCTAAAGGAAACAACAATGTGATGGATACAGAGAAGCATGGGAAAATCTATGTGAACTGACAGAATGAAGGAAACAAAAAAAACCCCAGTATATATAATTACTACTATGTAAACAGAAAGAATCACTAAAAAAGTGAAAAGTGAATTATAAAGAACGAGGATGACTTGAAAGAAGAAATATGAGAAGGTACTCTCATCCACATTCCACCTTTGTAAAGGTGGGAAGTCCACTAGCATGATACAGTGCATTGTACATATTTTCATGTTTTCACAATGTATTGGTTAGTTTTGCTGATTTTTTTCCTCTTTTTTATTTTGTCTCAAAAATAAAGCCTTCTAAAATGAGGTGGATCTCTGGGAGAGGAAAATGAAGACATCCTGGGAAAAATCTTGGTGTTGTATCCTTGCTCCTTTGACAGACTGCCCCTTCAGTCATCCCTACTTTTTCATTTATTTTCAACCTCTCCCTTTCTACTAGCCTCTTCCCTTTTGCCTATAAACACATCCTAATCTACCCAACTACAACAGGTACCTCCACTTTCTCTCCTCTCACTCTCTTAAACCCTTACAATCTGGCTTCTGACCTCATCATTCCACCAAAACAGCTCTCTCCAAAGTTACCAAAGATCTCCTAATTGCCAACTCCTGCAGCCTTTGACACTGTGGAGCACTGTCCCCTCCTTGACTCTTTCTTCTCTCTAGGTGTTTGGGGCAGCTCCCTCTCCTGGACCTCCTCCTATTTCCTTCTGTTTCCTTTGCTGGATCCTCTAGACCACATTCTCTAACTACAGGTGTCCCTCAGGTTCTGTCCCATGCCCTCTTCTCTTCTCCTGATACTATTTCATTTAGTGACATTATCAGCTCCCATGGATTTAAATACCATATCTATACTGATGATTCTCAGATCTCCTAACCTGCCTCAGACTCTGCTGACCTCTAATCTTACATCTCCAACTGCCCTTCAGATATTTCAAACTGGCTGTCCAGCAGACATCTTAACCTTAACATTTCCAAAACTGAACTCATTATGTTTTCCCCAAAACCCTCCTCACCTTCTAACATCACCACTACTCTATGCAGCATTTTTTAAACTGTGGTCACAACCTTATATGGGGTCACGACCCACAGTTTGAGGGGTCTTGAGTGAAAGAAGTTTAAGTAGCCCTGCTCTAGAGGGCAACACCATCCTGAGTCCCTCAGGCTTGCACCTTAGGAGTCATCCTGGCTGGATTCCTCACTCTTTCTACCCCCTCATATCCAAGCTGTTGCCGAGGCCTGTTGACTTCACTTTGGCAGTATCTCTCAAATACAATACCACCTCCTTGGCACAGACCCTCATCACCTCATATGTGGATTAATGCAATAGCCTGGCGGTGAGTCTGCCCACCTCAAGCCTCTCCCCACTCCAATCCAGCCTCCATTTAGTCACTTTTCCTAAAATACAAGTCCGATCACATCACTTCCTTCTACTCAATAAACTCGAGTGCAGGCCTGCTCCAGTGGCTCCCTATGCCTCCAGAAACAAGTACAAAATGCTCTGCTTGTTACTCAAAGCCCTTCATAACCAGCCCCCTCCTACCTTTCTGGTCTTCTTACAACTTACTCAGGGCCATACACTCTTTGATGCACTGATACTCTCCTTCTGGATGGTCCATGAACAAGACACTTGTTTTCTCTGGCTGTCTCTCATGGCTGCAATGTTCTCTCTCATCTCAGTCTCACGGCTTCCTTTAAGTCCCAACTAAAATTCCATCTTCCATAGGAAGTCTTTCCCGACCCCTCTTAATTCTAGTGCTGTCTCTCTTGTCATTACTTCCTATTAATTCTGTATATAGTTTGTACAAATTTGTTTGCTTGTTATCTCCCCAATGAGGCTGTCAACTCCTTGAGGGTAAAGACTGTCTTTGGCCTCTTTTTGTATCTACATTGCTTAGCATAGTGCCTAGCATACAGTAGACTCTTCATAGATGTTTGATGATTGGTTAAAAGTATAAATTATTTGGTTCTTTAATCATAATATTACAGACAGATAAAAACAAATACATTAAAGCAACTGCTGGAGTAACTGACTTCTATCTCAGGAATCCTCCCTTTAGAAGAGAATTCGTACAAAGTAGCAGTAAGTTCTAGCTTGGTTCTGTGATGATAGGTTAGACATTAAGAGGAAGTTTAGGTTGCTTTCACATTTTACTTAGTATTAATAGTCAATCTATGAGCTATAAAATAATATCTTCCTCAGCTGCTAACTAAAAATAATTTCAATTTAAAAAACTTGTGGTGATCTTTTCTCACTAGCGTAGCAGCAAACACTATTAGGCCAAAAACAACAATAATAACAACAACAAAAAACCAAACCCAACTCTAATGTATTAGGGGATCAAGCTAACCTCTCCAAATGGATTTAGATTGGAATAGAGCAAGTTTCACTCCCTATTGATGATGGTTTAACAGCCTGAAAATAGTTCAAGGGCATTAGTACCTTACCTTTTAGATATAAAGATCTGTATGTTATTAAAATGCATAAAAGTTGCTGATGTCACAGTAGTTAAGAGAACTTGAAGAAAAACAATGCTATAGACTTTCCGCAGAAAACCTGTGGAAAAAAACATACATTTTTACTTCCCTAAGCATACATAATAGAACAGTAAGAACAAATCTTGTTTCCTTTTAGAAAAATGAATCTCATCAAATGTATTTTCATTAGTTCTGATCCAATTACTTTGGTAGTTTATAACTGACCAAATTCTTGAATGTTAAATTTCAAAATGGATCAGAAAACTCTAATTGATATATAAATCTCCAAGAAGCTTCAGCTTTAAAAAACCAAACCAAACCCCAAATCTTTGAGGGTCAAGAATGTCATTATTTTCACCCATAAAAATTATTTCCCATTTACAAAGGTATCCAGAGCAGGCAGGTGGGTGTGGCTGGCTGTCAGCTGGCCTGGGGTTCTCCGCTGGTCACAGGCTCTGCTCTGTTGTACTGAGGCTTCTGGCTGCTATCCCCACCAACTCTTCCAAGCTTCCACTTTCTCCTCTCCTATTTGCCTTCCTTTCTTTTTTCTTGTATTTTCCACGTCCTGATGTTTCTCTCATGCTTTTTGGCACTTCTTTTTTTTAAACAAAGAGTTTAGTCTTTGAAGATTTTGTCAGCTTATAGGGGCTCCTTTCCTTCTGTTCAGGGAAACAACCAGTCACCGTGGGTATAATTTTCATGTCTTTACCTCCTGACTGCTGGGTACATTATTGTTTCCTGCTTCATAGCCCCCAATGAATTTCTTTTTGCCTACTAGATCCAAAACAGTGATGACAGAAAGAGCCAAAGGCTGGGCTGTGTATAACAAAGCTTTGACTGTATTGTAACTGTGACGTATGACTTCAACCTCTGTTCAACAGTTGACAGATACCTGTTTAGCTCTTCACCACTCAGCTTTTCTAGCTTTTTTGTTCCCCTGAAACTAGCTCACTGTCCTACCATCAAATTCAAAGGACCTGGATTCTAGTCTCAGCTCACCATTAAGCTATGCCTCAGTTTCTTCCTCTATAAAACAGACCAATAGTAGCTGCTTTGTATCCCTCAGGATACCACACACAAATGAGAAAATGTGTGTGAAAAGTCTGTAAACTTTCAAGTGCTACACAAGCAGCTTTGTAATGTTGCTTTGTAGCTTTTGGCTTTCAAAAGCTTTCAACTACTCTCCTTCGTTTTATCTTCAGGAAAGAGTACCTAACAGGTAGGAATGGATTAGGGCTTTCTGGACTTAGCTTATTTAGCAAAGCATCTTCTGCAGAGCTTTTCTGTTTTGCCCTTATCTTACAGCAGTACAAAGAATCATGCTGGCAAAATCAGCTGACAGTGAAGATGAGGAAAAACTGACAACCTTCCTTACTGCTCATAAATTATGGTACACAAAATAGCAGAATATTATGACCTTGTAAGAAAAGACAAAAGGGAAGGTTTCAGAGAAACCTGAAAGGCCTTTATGAACTGACATAAAATGAGCAGAACTAAAACAATTTATACAGCAACAACATGGTAAAGAAAAACAATTCTGAAAGACTTAACTGATCACTGCAATGATCTCCAGAGGCCTGAAGATAAAGCATGCTCCCCACTTCCTGTCAGAGGGGTGGTAGATTCATGGTGCAAAAATGGACATGACAAATGTATAGTTTGGTTTTTCTGGGTTAGGCTATGTTATCTGTTACAGGGACTGTGTTTGCCTTCATTTATTTGCCTCTGAGCAAGTGGAAGATTTTAGGGAGAGAGGGAAGCAAGCTAGCTAATAGGACTGCCTCCCTCCGGCAAAAAAAAAAAAAGAGAGAGAGAGAAAAAAAGAGCCTTTGAAGCCTTTTAAAAAATGCACAGATGAGGACAGAAGGAAGTTCAGAAGAAGGCATAAATAAGCAGGGCAGCCTAGAAAGTTACATGTTGAGAACTTTTTTTAAAGGCAATTGGGGTTAAGTGACTTGCCCAGGGTCACACAGCTAGTAAGTGCCAAGTGTTTGGTCTGAGGCCAAATTTGAACTCAGGTCCTCCTGACTTCAGGGCTGGTACTCTATCCACTGCACCACCTAGCCGCCCCTAGAAAGTTATATGTTGAAATATATAGTAGCAATAAAAATTTTTGTTTTTACATTAAGAACAAAACAAAAACAACCAAACCACTGCTTACTGCTTTCTGACGGCAATGCTACAATCCCAACGGCAAACAGCATTACTTACAGTTTACAGCAAATTACACAGGCAGACAAGGGACTGGGAGACAAATTAAGCTAGTCCCTAATTTTAAAAGCAATTTTCTGTGGGAAAAACACCATCATCAACAAATGTTTGAGGACCTACTGAGTCCTGAGCCTGAACCCTAAAGTTAATGGAACAATTCTGAATGTCTCTCCTTATTCCAGCGAGGAAAAAACATCATTTCTAAGTCTTTTAGAAAACTTTAAGAAACCTCTACCAGCCCAAGCATACTCAGAAAGGCCATTCTATATTCTAACATGACAAGTAAATGATGTTTAATTGATATTATTGCTAGTCTACTTATTTTAGATGAGATTTATGAGACAAGTAATTTTTATATGATAACATCTCTACTTTGTAGGAAGGCCTCTTATGTCTGTCCTACGGTCTCATAATACAACTAACACCCACTATCTGGTATCCTCAGGAATTGAGGTAGTCTTCTTCTGCACTGTCCTTTTTATGTGTTTCTTGCCTCTTTTCTTATTTTTTTTTCATTTTTTAAATTTAAATTTTAATTAATTAATTTTAAATTAATTTTAATTTTCCCAGGTTTCTGTGTATTCCTTTCTATTAATCTTTTGTTCTTTTGTTCTATTTGATGAATTGAAATAAAAAACTGAATTTTCCAGTATGTGAAAAATTGATTTTCCAGAGACAATACATGTGAAAAAAATTTCTAAGTGCTTGAATTTTATTATAACTTTCAAAAAGCCAGAAAGCTTTCTAAAATAAATTGGATGTTTCTCTTGAATGTTAACTGACTCTGAAGATAGAGGATTCGAGTTCCAACTCCATTTGGAACATTTCTTGTCTATATCTTGTGTTCTCTAGGAAAAAAAGGTCAACTTAACACCACACACAGAAAGGGTGGGGGAAGGGGGAGGGAGGACAACGATTATTTTATTAGTTGGAAAACACAGACAGAAAGAGTACGGATGAGCCAGACCATCAGCAACTCCAGCAGATCCTCTATTTAGGATTAACAAAAAAACAAGGACAATAATTACACGGGCATCTGGGACAGAGCTAAAAGGTAAAGTCAAAAGGTTTTTAGGTCTCTTGATGGCACAGAAAGGAGCTTTGAACAGGGAAAAGAAAACAGGGAACAGGAAAAAAAATGCATGCATATATGTATGCACCTACATATGCAGATATACATACATATACAGATTATAAACATGTGTAGCACAGTGTCTTGCACATAAGAGGTGCTTCATAAATGTTGATAAACTGATTGCTAATCACTGGGGATACAAAAAGAGTCAAAAGACCATCCCTGAAGAAGACCAAAAAAAAAAAAACCAGGAAAAGCTTTGAACAAAAGCTTAAAGAGTATACGTGATACATTGTCAGTCTGTGTACTAGACAGAAGGGAGTGCCCTTATTGACAGGTGATAATTATAGAAGGAAACTTTTGAAAGCTGTGAAAAACAAAAGCAGGGGAAGGAGAGAAGAGACAAGGGAAGAAGAAAATAAATTAGGAAGAGAATAGTAGAGAGCAGAATGAATCGGTGTCCAGAGTTATGAACGATGGCAGTAGCAGAGGAGGAATTCAAAGTGGTTGGCAAGTACTAGACAACCTGACCAAATACTAAGTTTGCACAGCACTTTACAAATACTATCTTGACTAATCAGAAGAGGAGAGAGTTACTGGCAAATGAAATAAAGGTGACATGCGGGCAAACAGAAATCTCTTAGGGTACTCAGAACAACGGTGATGGGTCCTCTACTCCTACAAAGGTGGGAGTTCACTGACAAAGCAGAGATGTAAAGTAACCTACCACACCTGAGAAAGCAGCTAGCACTGGCTTGGACTAGAAATCCTGGGATCCAGACTCAGGTCTCCTGCTAATTTTAGCCACCTTATCAAAGCTCTCTACACCTCTGTAAAATGACATGATCGCTAAGATCCCTTCCAGTTCTAAAATTCCATGACTTGATATTTCTTCTCTGCTTTCCTTCCCCAGGAGCCCTCCAGGGCATTTTTGTGCCATAAACAAACACCAAACACAGGGAAATGGAGGGGGACCTTCAGACAGCCTCTCCTTTGTAGCCCTGGAGTATCTGATAATTCTGTTATAGGAATGAAAATTAACGTTTGTAATGATGACCCTAATAATGTTTCGAGGAAAGTTTAAATTGAGATCACAGATATAGACACAGAAAAGACTGAAGAAGCCATTTAATTTAACTCCTCATTTTACACATAAGCAAACTGAAGCCCAGGGATTTTAAATAACTTCCCAGGGTCACAGAGGTAGGAAACATCAGAGACAGGATGTAAACTCTCCTCTGACTCCAGAACCTCTGCTATTTCCACTAACCGAAGTTGCCTCCAGTGAGCTCAGTAGCCTTCAAAAGAAAAACGGTTCTCCATTCCAGCTTCCAAATCCCAAACCCACCTCACAAGGGAGGCAGGTGGTTCAGTGGGAACCTGATCTAGAACCAAAAGACCTGTGCTGGAATCCTGATTCTGCCCCAGGTCTTAACTCTGTGACCTTGGGCAAATTCTTTAAGGACTTAAGGTTCCTTCTATCACTAAAACCTCATACCCCCTCTCAAAGAAAATTTCACAATCCTCTCTCCTCCCAATCTTGCCTTCAGTCTTCAAATCATTCAATGTGCAGACATATCAGCAATTTTTTCATTCCCTTCCAAAACCTTCCCACCTTTAAAATTCAAATGAGTCTGTGAAAGATTCCACCTGTAAATATGTTCCAGATATACCTCCTAGGCATCACCACAACTTTTCCTACTGTGAAGAAGATGAATGGTTAAGGAGAAACACTAGGATTCTTTGGCTAATATACCATGGAACAAATTTAACTTAAAGTCTTCAACAATCTCATCTTCATTTCCCTGTATGCTACAACAGAAAATCTCTGTTCCCAAGGCAGTCTTCTCACTTGTTGTGACCTATCTGAGGAAAGGGGCCATTTAACTACTATAATTCAAAAGTCTGATTTAACTGTGTTAGTTAGAAAGGAGTTAAGGGGTGGGGGGAGTCACATAAGAACTTCTTTCCTGAGAGATTAATTTCACTATGTCAGGCAGTATGAGATGGTAGAGAGCCTCAAAGCTAGGAAGACCTGGCTTCAAATTCTACTTCTGACACTGCTTGGGGTGAGAAAGCACTAGAAATCACCCTGGATTTAGAAAATTGTATTGTTGTTCAGTCATATGACCCCTTTAGGAGTTTTCTTGGCAAAGATACTGGAGTAGTTTGCCATTTCCTTCTCCAGCTCAGTTTACAGATGAGGAAACAGGCAAACAGTTAAGTGACTTGCTCACGGTCACACAACTAGTAAGTGTCCTAGCCAGCTTTGAGTTCCAGGCCCAGCACTCTATCCAATGTGCCACCTAGAAACTTGGAACCAAGATTCAAATCCAATCTATGTCAGTGACTCAGTGGGGGAAATCCAACAAGTTGCTTTCCCTCCATCTCAGTTTCCTCATCTTTCAAAAGAGACGGTTAGTTTGTAGGCCCAAGTTCTTAATCCCTTTTTTTCTTTTTGGTCATGTACCCTTTCTTCACTCTGATGAACTGAAACCTAGAGGTGCACTTCTCTGAATAATATTTTTAAATGCACAAAATACATGGAATTACAAAAGAAACAAATTATTCCAAAATACAGTTATCAAATGTAGATGTATATAAACACATGCACAAACATGCATGCACACACGTATAAAAGTATAGATCTGTGCATATATACATGTACATATATTTATGCATATATGTGTGCACATATACATATATAGGTATATACAGAACACGTATGTACATATACTTGCAAATATATATGCACCTAAAGACGTACTTATAAAAATATAGATTATAAACACGCATGTAATGTAGCTGTACATGTATGTATGCATCTACATATACAGATATACATACATATATAAACAAGTGTCTGGCATATAGCAGATGCCTCATAAACGTTTGTTGATAAGACTCATTGCTAAGCGCTGGGGATACAAAGAGGCAAAAGACAATCCCTGGAGAAGACAAACACCAAAACAATTGTGTACATACAAGCTACAAACAAAACAGAAAATAATCAAGAGAGGGAAAGCGCCAGAATGAATGGGAGGGTTGGGTAAGGCTTCCCAGTAGAAGGTGGGATGTTAGCTGGACCTTGAAAGAGGCAAAGATGAGTTGGAAGGGCATTCCAGGCCTGGGGGACAGCCGGGGAAAATCAATTAATCAACATCCACTAATCGCCTACTTTATGCCAGCCCAGTGCTGGGCGCAGGGTACACAGAGAAAGGAAAAGTCAATCCCTGCCCTCAAGAAGCTTACACTCTAACAGGGGAAGACAACTTGTTAAAAGAACTATATTTTAAAAAAAAACTACATTCAGACAGGCAAGAGACAGGATAAATTAATTAGCAGAGGGCGGGCAGTAGCATGGGGAGCTGGGTGGGAAAGTACTCCCGTACGTGGTGGGACGGCGCTGGGGCTTGCTGGAAGCCGGGAGGCAGAGCACCGAGGCAGAGGGAACGCCCCCCGAATTCCCTCCTCGACCCTCCCCCAGCCCCTCCCCTCTTAGCCCCTCCCCTTTCCCTCCCCCTCGCCGGCCCGTCCTCGGGGCTCAGTCAGGGCCCTCGCCAGGGGCCACCGCTCGTACCCATTCGGATGTGGACGCTGGCTGAAGCCACGCTGGTGCCGTAGTTGAAGTCATCCTCGAGAGACAAGCGAGAGTAGCTGGGTTCCGGGGCGGCCATGGCGGAGGCGGCGGCAGCGGCGGCACTGACCCGGAGAGATCTCAGCCCCGCCCGTCACCTCCCTGGCCCCGCCCACCCTGGGGGTGGTGCTTACGGCGGCCCAACGGCCTCCCGTCCCACTTCCGACTTCCGGGTAAAAGCAATCGAACCCCGAACAGCCTCGGAGCCCTGACCAATCTAACCCCAAGGTAATCGATTTCTCCTTCTCCCTGGGGGGGAGGCTGAACTTTTCCTGCTGGAGTCTATCAGCCTCCCCAGGAGACAGGACTCTCAGGCTTTCCCACGTCCTTAACCTTAACTAATGGTTCAAAATAAAAAAAAGAAACAGTTTTGTAGGCACCAAGATGGTGCAATGGATAGATCTAGGTTTGGAGTCAGACCCGAGTTCAAATGTTGCCATAGACAGTAACTCGCATTTATAAGTAGAATCCGATTTATTTGTGAATTTCTGAATTGCATCCTTACGTTCCTTTAACACAGTATAGTTCTGTCTCTCGTCTCCGCCTCCCAGCTTCGTTCAAGGCTCCGCTAAAACCCCACCTACAATGAGAAGCCTTTCCCAATCCCCCCTAATGCTCTGAGATTATCTACAAATTATCCTGAATATGTCTTGTTTGTACGTAGTTGCTTACATGTTGTTCCCCTCCACTAATTCTGCCATTAGACTGTGAGCTCTTTGAGAACCTGGCTGCTGGAGGCTTTCCTCTGAGATTATATCCAATTTATCTTGTATATATCTTATTTGCATAACTTGTTTGCATCCTCTCTTCTCCATTAGATTTCGCACTCCATGAAAGCCTGGATGCTAAAGGCTTTCCTCTGGGATTATCTCTGATTTATCCTGCAAATATTTTGTTTGCATATAGTTGTTTGCATCCTGTCGCCTCCACTAGACTGTACACTCTATGAGATACTGAATGCTAGAGACTTTTCTCTGAAATCTTCTCCAGTTCATCCGGCATGTATTTTGTCTGCACATAGTTGTTTAAATATTCCCCTTTTCTCCTCCCTTCCCACCCCACACTAGACTGTGAGCTCTTTGAGAGACTGTTTTTGCCTTTCTTTGTAACACCAGCACCTAGCATGGTACCTGGCACACAGTAAACTAATAAATGATTGTTATTAAATGAATGAATGAAAAGGCACTTAATGCTCTTACTTAATGCCAGCCACCCTGCTAAGCATAGAGGATAAAAATACAGTTATCCCTTCCACATAGCAACTTTGCCCATCTCGGGTTTTGATATATCCTGGGTTGGCACAAGAAACTAAGTGGGAATTTTTTTTTTTGAGTTTTTCCAGAAGGTACAGATGACACAGAAAGAGTTTAGAAGCTCAGAAATGCATAACATATATGTATAGTATTGTATATAAAATATTTTATCTTTTAGTAGTATTATTAATTCAGACTTCTGAATCCAGACTGAATTATTAATTCAGACTTCTCCTCTGGTACAAAGGGAGATGAGGAGGGGGACCCAACCCCTAATCCCCTCGAAGTGAAAGGGATAACTATACTAGCAATCACTACAGTTTCTCCTCTCAAGGAATTTACATTCTAGTAGAAGATCACACATTTAAGGGAGTGGTATCCAGGGAGGGGTTTTTTGGACTGAGAAGTCGTTGGGATAGTTTCTGTAGCCATAGGGTTCCAATTACAGATCCTTTTCAGGAATGGTAGTGTTGATTTGATTACTGTTTTCATGGGTGGAGCTCTTTTGCCTTCAATTTCTTTAGCCTCAGTTTTCTCATCTGTGAAAAATGAAATAATAGCACTGAACTCACAGGATCATTGTACGAATGAGATAACATATTGAAGACACTTTGCAAACTTTATGATATTATATGAAAGCTAGATATTTTATCATTAGAAATTACTTTAAAGATGCCTTGCTGTCTGTTTAAAAAATGCATCCTAAGGACCATCGGACCTTTCCATCAGATGTCCTACACCTGTTATCTCTTTCATTTGCATGAGTTTCCTTGAGCATAGGGTGTTTGTCTCCGCTTTTCTCTGTGTATGGGTTTCTTTTAACCAAGAAATCAATCAACAAGTGTAGTTAGATCTATTTTGGCCTTGTTTTGAAAACGTGAATTTGTTCCAAGGAGATGTATATATAACAGAACAATCTAAGCATAACAGTCATAATTTCCATTTGAGATTTGAGATTTCCTCCAGGGATACAGGAGGACAATGAGCTACATCCTATTTTCACAAGCAACTTAAGGTCTTTCTTAAAGTGCCACATTTATTCTATAGCTTCTTGTACAATAAGAGCCATGAGCAGAGGAGGGCTACTCTGCACTCATATAGCCTGCTACCTTCCATCAAGGCTATAAGTCATCAACTTTGCCAGCCAGGACCCAGTGAAAACCATGGTACTGGCCCAAGAAGTCTGAGGCCAGGGTCACCACCACTCTATGTATTGCATAAGTATTCAATGGGTATAAAACTCTGCTACTTTTTTTAGTTTGGTTCCTGTCTTTTTTTTTTAATGTGGCACTAATGTAGTCTTTGAATGGTATCTCCTTAACTTCATTTTCCCCATAAGCATTGTGATTTTTATTCCTCAATAGCTCAGTACTTTTGAGGAGCATATTATAGCAACTGTCCATATTTATTAAGTACCTACTGTGTGCCGAAGATGGTGCTAAGTATCCTCAAAGATACAAGTACAAAGATTGAAACAATCTTTACTTATAATGAGTTTAGATTCTAGCAGGGAAGACAAGTATGGGGGGGGGAGAGAGAGAGAGGAGAGAGCACGCGCGCAAGCATTGTGAAAGCTCAATAAATACATCTTTTTCTTTCATTCATTCATTTTTGCTGACAGGGTTTTGTGTTTTGTTTTCTCTGGGGGGGTTTTTTGTGTTTTTTTTCTTGTTTTTGCCCTTTCTTCAAAAGGGATCATTGTTGAATTTGAGTTTGTATGTCTCATTATAATCATAGTCTAAGTTTGAGCCCACTATTCTCATGTTTGATGTGTATATTTGTAGGAGAGTGAGCCCCACATTATGAAATGTTTTGTACTATTCATTCTGACTATAGTGTGTTAGATTAGTGCTTACTGTGTGCCAGATACTGTGCAAAGCTCTGGGAACATGAAAACGAAGAAAAAGCAAAAAAAAAAAAAGATCTCTGCCCTCAAAGAGTTTATATTCTGATAGAGAAGACAACTCATAAAATGGAGCTGACAAGTGGGAGTTGAGCGAACTTACCTCAAGCAGGCAAAGTTGAGACATACTCTGAGGAATGATGGGCTGAGCTAGGTTTGGAGTAAGTATGGCTATCATGGGTGCCTCCTCAAATGGAGGTTTTGGAGATAAGCTAATCAATCAGAGAAGATTGTAGAGACTGAGGTGTTGCTATCATGAGAAGACAACCAGGTGAAGGTCAAGAAGTTGTTTTTGCCAAGTGCTACCTATGTACTGACTGCTAATGGGAAGCATTCTTATGGGGGCTCATGAGCTATATTATTAGAAGTGCACCTTTATAGAGTCACTCATATAATGCAAAATGGCAATTCCCCTCTGGAGTGCTACTCCCCACATTTTCAATAGTGCTAACAAGTTCACTCCCTAGAGGGAGGCTGCTACCTGCTACTTCAGATTTGTCATGTTTATAATAATAAAATAATAATAAATAAATAATAGCAAAATATAATAAGGGTGTGATGAATGAGTGTGATGTATAAACAAAAGCCACAGTAATTTTAAAAATCAGTAAGATAAGCTAAGGTTAATAAAATAAGCTTTTGGGAACTGAGATTCTAGCAGCTGCATTATAGCTGAAGACCAGCAGATGGTAGCAGAGATCAGCTTGTTCATTCATTTGTTAAATAAACGTTTATTAAATAATCATCTAAGTAAAGGGCAGTGTTAGGATACAAAGACAAAGAGAAAATCCTTATTGTCAAGGTGCTTCCATTGCATTTGGTGGAAGCAACATGGATACCGAGAAGTAAAAATAAAATATGTACAAAGTGTGGAAGCATATTAAAAAACCTCCTTTTTAGTTTCTTTAGAAATATTAAGAAATATTTTCTCCAGCTTAAAACTCTTACCAGACTTTTCCCTTTAGAGAAGTACATAGAAAAAAAAGCTAAGACTTTTCTTAGAAAAATGGATTAATGGATATAACCCAACTTAACTCTAGACTAGATGAGATTATTTCTTCCCCTCTGCCAGAAGTGATTTGGATTGCTACAAACCTGAGGGCTGGGCAGTGGTGTCCTTTTATGAATCCAACATTGTAATGGAAAGGAACTCCTTTTAATCCTAAAGAGGAGAAATCTAGGAAGGAACTGAGTGGTGATTATTCTGGAAAGTTAACCCAAAATTTTAATATATTGTACACTTTTCCTTTTTTAATATTCCTGTAAGTATTACCTGAAAGCCTCTTGGGGCAGAAAGTCAGGTGAGAGAACATGGGAAACCTTTCGAATGTGGATCTTTCCTTCCAAGCCAGTAATGGCTTGGATACAGGTTAACATTAAATAAAATTGTTTCTGGCAAACTCTAGCCTAAATCGCATAGTACAGTATTGGTATTTTTTTTTCTTGACAAAGTAAATAAGAAGCAGTTTTTTGGGGAGAGGGCACTATAAAGATGTAGGACATGCACATGAGCTTAAGGCTTGAAGAAAGGTAGGAGTTTGTGTGGTGGAGGCGAAGAAGCAATTCATTCCAAGAAGAGGGGAGAGTTTGTAGGAGGACACAGAGACAGGAGGTAGAAGTTCATATTTAGGGAAGAGAGAAGTAAGCTAGCTTCTCTAGAACATAGAGTACATGAAGGAAAGTTATGAGTAACAGGCAAAAACTTTAAATACAAAACAGAAGGGTTTGTATTTTATCCCAAAGTGGGTGGGGAAGCCATTGATCTTGAAGCTGCAGGGTTAGACCTGTTCTCTAAGAATTTCAATTTGCCAACAGATAGATATCTTCCATATTCAAATATCTCATAGACCTTTGTCTACATCTCTCCTTTTCATTTATCTTTCTTTTGAATATATGTCATAGTTGTGTCTTATCATCTTCAACCCATCCCACCATATTGGATTGTAAGCTCCTTGAGAGCAGGGTCTATGGTATATCTATTCTT